AGCAGTCTCAATTTTCACTGAATCTGGTATCCTAATATAAGAAATTTTTGTTGCCTTTTTTCTGGGCATAGATATGTACTTTAGGATTGCTCTCTAGTTCGTCTATCAGTAGTTTTTTTCTCTGCAGTATATAAGCCCCCTACAAACTGTCATTCACTCACCTGACTACTTATTACATTAGCATACAGATGAGCTTATGGTGCTAATGGCTCCAGACGTTAATTCATGGGTGCTAATTACCTTTTACAAAAAATCCCTTGGGTAGTCTGGAACAACACATTTTCTGATCCATTTATTAGATTAAAGGCAAATCTTCATTGTTATTAATTTATGAGATGGCATTTGGGATTCATTTTTCCTGATTCATTTGTTCTCATTCAGTTGTGGATTTTTTATATCTACGTATCTGCACATGCCAGTTTTTTTTTTACTATCCAAAGTGTTTAGAGCCAGGATATGCTTTCACCAGGTGATTTAAAAAATCCTGTGTTTAGATTAAGTCAGAAGTAGGTATTTCTTTGCAACAAAATTATTTGTTTTAAAATGCCTTTATACAAGACCAACAAGAAAGGATGATAATTTTTTTTTTCAGTAGGGAGATAGAAGAGCAGGCATTCTAAGTACAAAATATGTAGTAGACTGCCAAGAAGCATTTACAAAAATGAAATAATACTATTAATAAATAAATTATTTAAAAATTTTGTCCAAGCTTATTTAGTTTTTCATTCTTTATAGGAAGGCAGTCCTCCACAGGTAGCAAGAGAAAAGATTAAGGGAATTTTAACATGGTGTCTCTCAATCTAGTTACCAAAATGGTAACCTATGGCATTTTAATGACGTCCATCTAGGAGCAGTGTAGTTAATTTTTCACATGGACTTGTCAGCAGAAGGCAATTTAATTCAATTAATTACTGACAGATCTCCAAAGGCAGCAGTGACAGGCTGTAACTGGATTAGCTGGGGACACGCATCACTGCTGAAAATCTTTAGTGCTGAAATGAAATCCTCCAATGTTTTCATTGATATTTTTATGTAAATTATTTATTCCCAGGGCTGCATTACTTGTGACCTTAAATAAAGTTTTTCTGAAGATGAATCGGAACAGTGGTGAAAAATCCCTTTTTATTATTTTTTTTTCTGCAGAGAATTAGTGATTGGGAGGTTCATGTGTTCACCATTACCATAAAATTTTGAAATAAGTTTACGTTGGCTCAAAACCAGTGTAAAAGTGCTACTTCTGATAATTCATGAATAGAAAGTTAAAAATCAGCTTGCATACTCCAACAGGATTAATTTGCAGTGCTCAGATATCCACAGCCTTCAAGTTAGCAGTTATGAGGGTTTCTTTAGTGTGATTGAGTTGATTACAGTTTAGCATGTCTTTATGTTAGACTTAAAGTAATACATGCAAAGATAGGTAAGGGACATATGGTATTTCATTTTGCCAAGACACTGGTGAAACTGACAAGTAGATATTTGAGGGGGGGGGGGGGGGGGGCTGCCCTATGTTTCAAAAGTTCAGTATTTCTAAGTTTGATATTCCAAAAAATATGAAGTCTTGATCTAAAATCAACCAGTTTTCAGAAGGTTCACTATCACAGAAAAAAAGAGTTCAATACGATTTCTGAAGGTGCAGATACAATAGCTACAAAATAGTAGTTGCGTAATTGGGGTGAGCACTGACCTCTGTGTCAAACTTAAGAGGCTCTCTCAGGTTTTCATTTATTAGCAATTGAAGATTTTCGTGTGTGAGTTATTCCTTAGGATTACATCTAATGGTTTACCTTTATAGCACAACATAATGTGCATTTCACCCTCCTATGCTTTTTTGTAATTAGGATTGCTGCACAATGAGAATATCAACTGTTGCATCTCACAAAGCACGCGTCGTCTTTTATGACATTAGTATCCACTGGCATTTTGTTTGATATCTTTGCACTCTATCTGTACCCATACATGTATTTCAGATAAATGAACCCTTCGAATAGCAAACCTTCAAAATACATAACCTTCAGGAAACCATACCTTCAGAACATATAAGCACACCCTAATGGAGATATTAAAAATAAATCATGCCCTAAGAAAGAATAAGATGGTTCTTGATTTCAAGCCTAAAGTTTGTGATCACATACGCTGAATTAATGACTCAAACTGTAATATCATGGCAGAAACTTAAAATTTATGGTGGTGAGCACCGTATCGCAAATCCCAAACTGTTAATCCACTGAATTTCTGTAGTTTCCATATTATATGTGCCGGAGATGGTTGAAAATGCATTGCTTCCATATTTACATTGTTATGATGTCGTGGTTCGAGGTTTGCAATCATAAACTTGAGGGTTGAGATTGAAAACAGCAAGGTTATGAATTGAAAATATATTTTTAAAAATATATAGTTCATTTTGATTGAAATAAACCTCATTCACCTGGTCCTAAATTTTCAAATAAAAAAGTCAAGATTTCTTGACACTTCAGTGGGTTAAAAAAACTGTGAAAGCAGTATATTGAGTAGACATATTGCAGATGTTTTTTATTTGTTTCATTAAAAAATACTGAAGCTGTAAAAAAAATTGACATATGTTTATATAACACAAACCACGTGCTTTTCTCAATCTGCCACTCAGTGGTTGCTGGGGTATTTCAGCTCACTTGTATACTAACAGAAACAGATGGAGATTTGTTACTTTTCTAAGAGTCTGGATTAGCTTGGCTTGTACTTTTTCCAATGATCAGGTTAACTGTAATGAATTTAGTTGGCATCATAATGGTTTGCCTTGCCTGAGTAGTTAACTGACTGAGTTACGCAGTAATTAAGATAGACAGCTAATAAGCATCAGTTTTTTTCTTTTAAATGAAAAAGCCATTTCAAATTGAGAGAAGAACTCTTCAAAAACTGGTTATTATTTGCATGTGTTGTACCATCCCTGTAAAAACCCACTCTGCCTTCAGCGATTAACAGCAATAGCTGGCACGGTGAATAAATAATGAGTTTTTCCCTTAGGAATCAAATTAACAAATAAAAAAAACGAGCAATTACCATGTATAAGTCACCACACTGATATCCATGAAAATGAGAATATGAAGAAAGAATTTAGGCTTTATAAATTTTTTGTAGACCTATAAAGTCCAAGGGAATTTTGGTTATTTACAAATCCCTTCTTGGATAAAGCTCAAGTGAGTATTGATCTGATAATAATAAAGTTATTTAATTGCAACAGAAGAAGAAATCCCTTCCCATAAATCCGCTTAGAACCTCTAATGCCTTGTTCGTGGCGGCAGCCCTGGGGTCTAGCGTGAAGTAATTGTCTAAAGATTAAGTAGTGCAGACCCAACTAATCATTTGCAGCTAGAGCCACTGGAACTTTAATAACATGCCATGTTCATGTGTGTATTTTATTTTTAAAAAATCTCCAATTCAAATTTGATGGTTCTAAACCATAAAAATGCATGTTTAAAATGGTTTTTGTCTCTAGCCCTTTGTAGGTGGACCAACTAATTAAGTTTGAGGCCCCAATGGGGCATTATGCATGGTGTGGCCTTGGAGAATTTAGCTGCACATCTGATGTCTCAGCTAGATAGAGCTTAGAAAATAGATCTATGTTTGATTGAGTTTAATGAAGCGGATATGCCCATTGGGTATAGACTATTTTCAGTCTCTCTTGATTGAATAACTATTTGTTGGAGGATAGTCATAAGAAATACAGAACTGGGCATTTTTCCTATAAAGGTCCTTTCTGTTCTTTAATAAATATATTCAGTGTGTTTTGTTGGGAATTTTTATTGGGGGGGGGGGGGGGGAGGAGAGAGATTGTATAGTAAGTGCAAATGATCTGTAAATTTGAGTTGGAAAATATTTTGAAAAATAACACAATTTGATTCAATAAAACCCCAGCTGAATTTAAAAGAAATAACTTCATAGGACAGTGAAGAGGAAAGAGAATGTCAAGATTTCGAAAATATGATTATTCAAATGGAAGTTCTAAATAACAACCATAGTATAACAATCACTAAATTTGTTGAAATTCAATCATGGCCATTTAATTAAAGCCACTTGGAGGTTGATATTGTTAACAGTTTTTGCTAAGTTGCCTGGAGTAAGAAAAGCAATGCTGTATTTTGAGAGGCAAGTTTTCCCATTGGAGTAGCCTGGATGACAATATCGGTTTGCCAAAAGAATTTTTTTACTAGAGGAGAGAAAAAATATGCAGCTTTTGTTTTTTTAGATATTGTTGATCTTGGGTAGGCAGTTTATAGCATGAACTCTCTCCCTCTCTTTCTCTTTCTCTCTCTCATCATCTGAAAGTTATAAAAAAAAGATCTCATAAATATTATTTGAAGACAAGAGCAAATTTGTATTATAGTATTGAATACAAGATAGAAGTTTAGCCTGTTTGGCTCATGTTTGTTTATTGAAAGAGCATCATTTCTTTAGGGGAGGCCACCTAATCTTTAGATGTAAATTGATTACATCTATAACCTGAATCCATCAATTTGCTGTTGCCTGGGAACATGGACAGTCTGTGGTAGAATTATATTTTCTTCATTCTGGACCCTATTGATTCTATTGCAGGCCATTTTATGGATCATCGTGACTGAGAAAATGTGTACAGAGAATCAGGGCACCACAGTGCTGATATCACTGAGGGACCGTATATGAATCTGTTGTGATTGAGAGGGTCCCTCATGTGGGAATCAGTATAAAAGTGAAATTTGAGTTGGTTGAACAGGATAGTGGTTCTAGGCTACTTGGCTGTGATGCCAGTTTCATTTTGCAATTATAAGAAAGGAAGTACACTGAATTAAGTAGAACGTAAGATTCTTGTTACCAGTATTTCAAATGGACCAGATTTGTTAGCAAGGTGAGTTGATAAGAATGTCAAAGAAACTTCAGCCAGTTGTTAAAACTTTCTTGGTAATTGAATGCACAACTTTGATCAAATGTTTTTTCATCAAAACAAATGCTTAGATTCTGATAAACAGTGACTGATATTCTGTTATTTTTCTTGTCCTCTATGTCCTGCTGGTCAAAAGTACTTGTTTTTCAAAAGGAAACTTATCCTTAACCCAAGTTGAGAATTTGACAACCAATAAAAAGTTTCCCACGATGAAAGATAATCTCATATTATTCACCAATTTGTATTTGGTGGTTAGAATTGTAATTGGTGTCGTTTATCAGGGAAGAATATGCAATAAAGGATAGACCACTTCATCTGTGATATATGCTACAACCTCCTGCATGATTTAAATTTTATTTTTATGTAGAAAAGGTTCAGACATTTATGATGGAAGGTACATGTAATAAAAACAACCATGTGCTCTGATGGCAGTTATTTTCCCTTATCATATTGGAAACTTTCAATAAGTATATGAGATGTCAATTTATAAATTACAAAGTGTCTTCATTTTTGAAACATTAGGGTAAAAGTGATAAAGGAAGTCTTCAATTTAGAAGATTTGGGGATAAAATGCAGCAATATTTATTTAAAATCAAGCAATAAATTCTCAAATTTAATTTATTAACCCAGTGGATTTAAGGTCAAATATAACAGCCTATTTCCTTACTTTCAATTTTTTTGATAAAAATGGGCACATTTTCCTATGGGGAAGTAATAAGGACTTCACTCTGGAACAAGCTCCAACATTACATTGTTCCAAGTAGATTAAATTTTATACATTAAATGATATTCAGCGAGGATAAATAACAAGTGCATTCTTTCACTGTTCTTAGTACAGGGTGATATATTTACTTTTTAAGTATGTGATGTTAAGGACCCTGATGTTAAGGACCCCACCCTGGTAACTTAGTTATGACAAGGCTTCTCTTTATACTGCTTCCTACTGAAACTTGGGCTCAAGGTCAGGGCATGACTTCCCTTGCTTTAAAATTGCAGTTTCAAAGAAATTCCTGTTGAAAGCACCTAAGAGTTGCTATAATATGATGGCAGTAGTGGCCTCATTTTTGCTACCACCTTGAACATGCAACACTTTTGTCCTGTTTTGCCAAAGAGACTTAACGGTCAAAATTTTAGTCAAATTGGACATGAGATGAGCCAGAGATATTTGTATCAGGTGAAATATTGCAAAGTTTTATTATAAGAAGGACATATAGAAAATACGTACCAAAAGTGCTATTTAGTGAACTAAAGTTTATAATGAACTGAAGATGATCAAATTTTTGGTCTTAAAGTGTAGACCAATATGTGGGTGTAAGTTCTTTTGAGAGACGAAACCTAGGTGCAGAAAGAGGTGGGATTAACTGCCATTGTTGACCCTACCGAGGTGCTCACTAGGGCCTGATTAAAACCAGCAGGAAACATCTGCTTTTCTTGGATGGGGCTGTAATGACCCTCTTCCTTCTTGAAGTTCAGGTGGCCTTCACTTTGGCATTGTTAGCTGATGGCAGCCGTCATTCAATCTCAGAACAGGAAGATTGTCTTGAAAAAAAGTAGCAAAAAGGATGGAGACTTTTCGTGTAACATAAGTTTCATGTTTCTGAATTGGATTTGATTGCAATGACCAAAGCTGAGATCAGACTGGAGTTCATTATTCTCAAGGTAGGGACAAAATATTGCTTAGGCTTTTGGATTTAATGTGTGTTTTTGTAGAGGCAGACTCTTAAAGGTCAGGGAGTTTCTAATGGCTGGGGGCCAGTGCTGAGATTATCTCAAAGCCCCAGTATACAGTTTATATAAAACTTACTTAGGAACTCATGTCTAGGTTTTTTAGTCCAAGCAAAAGAATAAACATATTTTCAAGAGGGAAAAAACTTGAAATTTGGTCTCACAGGGCCTAAAATTTTAGTGGATTTTGGTTTTGCAGTCAGGTTGCATCCAGTTTTGCCTGCATTGTTTTTCTTTGTCAGGAGTTTGAAAACATTTTTGGGGCCACAGTTTGCCATAAAAACAAGTTGAAATATTTTTCAGTTTTGCAGACGTTGTTGGATTTTAGTTATTGAAACTTGCCACTCCTCATTGTTTTCTTTGGCATACATGTAGTTCAGCAGTCATATTTCTTACAGATCCAATTGGGGTAAAACCAATGGTTGTAAGAGATATTAAAGGAAGTATAAAAATTAAGCAATAGTGTAATTTGATCACCTATCCCTGCAACTTTCTTTAGGAGTATTTCTTCACACAATGATTCTAGATTTAGAACGTGATGACATACTAAGTGTTCTCATTGTCAGCTGTGCCAGCAAGTCAGAGATAAAGAGAGGTAATATGTCAACACAGTGGCTGTAAAAACACATGTTCAGGCTTGCTGGTAATAAAGTTTTTTCTTTGTTATGAAGAAACATTTAACATTGTAAGTTGTTTGGGTCTTCAGTATTTACTTGGGCATTGTCTGGCTTACCAGTTTGATGGATGTAAAGGTTTCTCTACAAATTCGTAAGATATTTCCTGCTTGTAATGTTAAGGTAAAAAATTTTCAACTTTGAAAAAAAAAAGTTGTAATATCATATCATATCTTTGGGCAATTCAACTCTTTTCTAGTTTGTAGATTTATTTTGAAGATTACTAGTCCAGGTTCTTTATGCTAGCTGAGTAAGTTGAGTGCAGCTTATATGACACCTCCAGTGGTCAATAGCCTAGTGGGTGCAGCTTTGGTGGTGGTGTGAGCAAAGAAGAGAGTGACTATAGGTCAGAAGGTTACAAAGAATATACAGTCTTGTTAATTAGTTTTGTTGTTTTAACCCTCCAGAATCCACACATTCCAATATCCTGAGGTACAGATTACCAGCTTTGTCTCAGACTGTGAAGAATATTGGGAATCAATGGGTTATGCAACTGATCAGAATCAGGATTTGTGCTCATGGGTGTACTAGTTCTGCTTCACTGGATCACTGATCTGGGTGATTAACAGAATAGGGAAGACTAAGCTGTCAAATCCCTTTGATTAATAAACTGTGACAGCCCCAGGTCTCTTGTGTAATTGCATGGATTTTTTCGTCTTTTTATCTTCCGATGACAGTCCTGGTAACAGTGCATGACTCATGATTTTTATTTCCAGGAAAATCTCTCAGAAATCTCAGTGAAACTGATGAGAACAGTTGTTCTTGGAGACAGGGATGTGATGGCTGTGTAGTTAAAATGAAAACCCTCTAAATTAATGCCAGTGAAATGGGCAAAGCAATACCGTTAAAATCCATTTAGGTGGTGATTGATAGTAACATTAGTGATTAAAGAATACTCTAGGTCATTTGTACAGCTGTCATGCTGGCAGACTTTCTGGTCCAGGTTTAGAATTTTTTTAGTGCAGTTTGTCTTTCTACATCATGCCTTTTTAACCTGTAAAATCTTCAGTCTATGTAGAAAATTATGTTGAAAAGTTTTTTTTACAAACTAGTTCAAATCTCCTTTTCTTTAAATTGAGTTTTTCCTGTCCAAATGAAACTTTTTACAGAGAAAAAGTTTGACCTGATGTCAAAATTATATTGAAAATAGACTAGATAGGGCAGGAATATTTTTTACTGACTAACGCACCTGGGAAAGTTTGAGAGTAATCTCCCCTCTAGGGAAATGTTGCCATTAACTACAGATTCACTGCTGGAGAAAAGTAATTAGGGCAAGGCAAAATCCAGGTACATTTTCCCTCAATCTTAACAATCTTGTTCTTATTAGTGGTCTCGGGACATTTTGGATGCATTTGGATGAGGTAAATCACCCTTTGTTATACGGTCTTGTATTTCTGTTGATTCTAAGAAATTGTTGACCCCAGTTTTATACACTTATTGATATTATCGTAAATGCCAAAACAGTAATACAAGATTACAGTTACACAAGCCTTTATCTGGTCAATTAATTTCACCCTAAATTGATTACATCATGGCTTCCTCTGGCCAATATAATGTTACCAGTGTGAAGGAAAGAAAGATAGGATTTCCCAAGCTTCATGTTGATTGCATAACTTAATGAAGATATATGGTTAATAAAACTTGACTTGCCTCCAGACTAAAATGAAATTTAGCAGAAAATTAATTAGCTGACCCCTACTTTGTTGAATCACATCAGGACTATAAATATAATAATGATTCAAGGGTTACTTTAACATGGAGTTTGGAGCTACAGGAGGGCAGAGCAAAATATGTTTTCATTTAAGAAATGTGTAAGTATAAATCACATATGGAAATAATAACTACATGTTTGATATTTTGACATGTTTTCTTTTCCTTGGTCAATGCCCCCAGCAGGGCAAGCTTTGGCTGATTGACACTCTTTCTTGGTGGTGCTTTAATCTCTACCAGAGGTGAGATCTGTCAGGTTCATTGAGCCAGAAAAGTGCCCAGTGAGCACAGCCTGCTGGGTTGCAGCCTTCAATTTTGGATCTTTTTGTGTAGAATTGTGATCAGATTTTGCACAAGTCTACTATATCTGGTGCTGGGCTGCCTGTCTGAGGTCATTTTTATCAAGAGATATCTGGCTCCTCTAAAGCCCTAGAAAAACCACAGTAAGTATCAGCTGGTTGCTATTGGATCTACCTTACGCCTTCAAGGACTTGGAAAACTATTTGAGAAAAGGTCAGCAATGTAGTACTATATATTATCTTTTGTTTAGTGAAGTAATGATTTTCACTTGAAATGTAATGAGGTAAGGTTGACAAAAAGTTTCTTCTTTTTAACGGATCAAGTTGCTGAATGAGGGATTTTACCAAAAAGATTATTTTTCCCTTAAGTGATCAGATGGACCTTGATAACTAGGGTAGCAAAGTGAGTTACGTTTGAAGACAACTGCATTACGCAGGCACCAGTTCATGTGTGTGCAAGTATCTGTGCATATATGTGCAGTAATGTTCATATCTGCATAAAGCTCTCTCAGTAAATTTTGTTAATTTTGTTGTAAATGCAATAAGACAAAAGTCATCAGTCTTGCAGATTAAGGCCAATGAGTTCTTTGATGTTATATAGTTGTTGATGAGTTTAGGGACCACAACATGTTGAGTGCAAAATTGAACATGTTTAAACTAAATTATCAAAAAGAACAAATTTGCTGACATACTAGAAGTCAATTACTTGAGAAAATTGCCCCATCAGCTAGGTAATAGAGCAAGTGAAGGACAGAAAACTATACCATGATTTCTCAGATGAAATGAAAGAAAAAAATAATTAGACAAAATTTAATGTGGCAAAGCAAAACCTGACTTAAACAATAAACCCATTTTGCTAAATAAGAAAGAAAAACACATTTTGATGTGTCAGAACATAAAATGTGAAGGTTTTCATAAAGATTTAAGTTTTATTAGCAACTGACAGGCAATCTATATACCCTCCAATAAGTTTGCTCATTTGTGGTCAAAATACATCTTGTGGTTTCCCAGCATAAGCATTTTTATCAAAACTTACAATCCATTAATAAAAGGATTGCCAATAACCGAATAAGGCACAGAAAAAGGATAACCAAAATCATTTCGATAACTGTCATAGTGAGGGGCCATGTGTAAAGCTCTACAGGACCAAAATACCGTAATTAAGACTGTTCTACCACAGAGCTGACCTTTTCTAATCTGTACACATCAAGGTGTAATGATCAGGCATCAATGGTTCCCCTGTGGCCCGTGGATCAATAGGCGGTAGTGACAAATGGGGATTGGGCTTTGTGCTGCTTTGAACACGAACAAAAAATACTGGGTTGTTATTAGGTTTGGTTAATGATCAGGTGCTGATCTGATCAATTGAGGGGGCCTCTGAGGGCCTCCTCGTACCTCTGTCTAGATCCCTGTTAGAGCAGGTACTAGTAGTGAGATAAGGGTTGTCTGCTCTCTGTTGTATGTTTTGTCTTCATTGGGTACGAATTGCCTACAAAATTGCAATCAGAATAAAAGGTTTGACTGAAAAGATATTTCTGTACATAAGACGAAAGTGAATAATATTTATCCATTCACTTTTATTGTACTTATCTTAATATTTTCAGCTAATAACATAAAAAAAAAGATATATATCAAAATTAAAAGTGCTTTTGATGTGATAAGGAAGAGATGTTTTATAATAGGTAAATTTTATTCATTTATTTAAATACTTATTTTTTTATTTGCATATTTACCTGCTAGTCTGGCAAAGGCACATGATGGCTGTATTTAGTTAGTTGATATACTACTCACCAGGCCCTGCGTGGCCATGCCAGTATCTATCCCAGGTATTACATAGTAAGGACAGCTGCTTTGCCCTGGGAGAGGCTGTGGATGGTTTCTCTGTGTGCTTGTGTTAGTAATTATTTCTCTGTTAGAGATATATCACTCTTCATTTTAACTGTCAGATGGCAGATAGTGTATGTGGTTTAGTGAATGAAATGGGTTAATTGGTTTTGATTGTGTTCTATAAACTTAAAAATAAAGCAATTTTCAGTTGACAGGAGAAGATGGATGTAATTGGAAATTAAGTACTTTGTCATATAATCCTAGAATTATTTATATGCTAATGGAGCTATGTCTTTGTTCTAACTCTTTTTGATTGAAACTGGTTATGACTGATGTTACCTCAGTAGACAGTAAAATTGAGCAGTTTCCATTTCATTGTTTTCATGTGATTAAAGGGATAACAACTGTTCATTTGGGCCAAAAAAAAAAGGATTTTCCTGATGTAAACAACAATTTTCCTATACTTACCAATTGTTTATGAATCTGTCTGACATTAAAAGTTAGTCCATGTTTTTTTTTTTTTTTTTTTTTTTTTTTTTTTTTTTTTTTTTTTTTTTTTTTTTTTTTTTTTTTTTTTTTTTTTTTTTTTTTTTTTTTTTTTTTTTTTTTTTTTTTTTTTTTTTTTTTTTTTTTTTTTTTTTTTTTTTTTTTTTTTTTTTTTTTTTTTTTTTTTTTTTTTTTTTTTTTTTTTTTTTTTTTTTTTTTTTTTTTTTTTTTTTTTTTTTTTTTTTTTTTTTTTTTTTTTTTTTTTTTTTTTTTTTTTTTTTTTTTTTTTTTTTTTTTTTTTTTTTTTTTTTTTTTTTTTTTTTTTTTTTTTTTTTTTTTTTTTTTTTTTTTTTTTTTTTTTTTTTTTTTTTTTTTTTTTTTTTTTTTTTTTTTTTTTTTTTTTTTTTTTTTTTTTTTTTTTTTTTTTTTTTTTTTTTTTTTTTTTTTTTTTTTTTTTTTTTTTTTTTTTTTTTTTTTTTTTTTTTTTTTTTTTTTTTTTTTTTTTTTTTTTTTTTTTTTTTTTTTTTTTTTTTTTTTTTTTTTTTTTTTTTTTTTTTTTTTTTTTTTTTTTTTTTTTTTTTTTTTTTTTTTTTTTTTTTTTTTTTTTTTTTTTTTTTTTTTTTTTTTTTTTTTTTTTTTTTTTTTTTTTTTTTTTTTTTTTTTTTTTTTTTTTTTTTTTTTTTTTTTTTTTTTTTTTTTTTTTTTTTTTTTTTTTTTTTTTTTTTTTTTTTTTTTTTTTTTTTTTTTTTTTTTTTTTTTTTTTTTTGTAATTATCTCATAAGGGATTATTACAAAGGGTAGCCATCTGTGAAGGTGATGTGTTCTAATGGCAAGCACAGATTCCAGAATAATTGCGATGTCTGCTGTTTTGTGATAAAATAGAATTCAATATATTTCTGTGAGTTGTTTACAATGTATTTATTATAAGATATGAATCTCATACGAAGAGTTGTTATCCCTTTAATATGGGTGTTAAAAAGATAAGATTAAGACAGCATCTGATTGAGGGATCATACATATATATACATAGACACCAGCTGCTTAGAAAAACAGATTACAGATAATTATATTCTTGTGACTTGGATCATCTCTGCAATTACATTGTCAAAATCTGGTAATAAAAACATGTCACATGAGCAAGTTGCTGCTTATCTGCTGTCCATGTCAATCCATTTTTCTGCCAGAGTTTGAAAAAATAACATGTCACACATGGTGGTATTTGGTGATCAGTGTCACAGTTGATCCACCCAGAACATGTGCCCAGTCCCTGACTTCCTCTGTTTCCAGGGTGATAGCAGATTGACAGCAGAAAGGGTTATTCATCTTCTGGACCCTCCTTCCTCTAATAGGGCTTTGTTTGGCACAACTTACACAGCATTCTCCACAGCATTCTCCGATTCCACCCGCAACTTAATTGGTTTCACTTCATTAAGCAAGGTCAAATAATTAGAGCATGATTTTTTTGGAGCAGAAATAGGTTCTCTCATTCTTGAATGAACGTGTACCATTGGAATTGTGCCTGGGAGGGTTATCCTCTGCTAGTGAACTCTGTACTTTCTTGGCTTTTTTAATGAGGTTGGACTTAAGTTTTTTTAACTTCACTGGAGCTGTCTACAGATTGGGTGGAGCAGATTTTGTTGCCAGATTAAATTTTATAACTTTTGCTGCCAATGGATCAAAACATTCTAAGGTAAATTGCTCTGTAGAACAGCATTGAATTAATTTATATTTGAATTAATTGATGATGATGAATGGGGAGATGCTGTTTGAAGAAAGTGTAATAATTTGGCAATGTGAATTTTGTCTGTGGTTGCTTGTTTATTCAAATCCAACTGTTCTATATTTTATTCTTTTTCCAGTGATTTAAGGCATTCGTTCTTGTACTTGATCATAATAATAAAATGCATTACATTCAGACTTAAAAGTACACAATCAACAGAACATAATGTTTGTTATAAGAATAGTATAAAATCTAGTACAAACCTGGACCTATTTTACAAAAAAAAAAAAAAAAAAAAATTAACTCCAAAATTGGTGTTAACATTAATAGTCCAATTCAATAAAATTACTGTGCTTGTTTTCTTACAAAAAAAATGCACTGTTTATGTTGTAGAACAGTAGTTACTTTTAGTAAAGTAGAGCACTATGGATTTATCTTGACCTGGAAGGGACCAAATTTTCGGTGGTACTGGAAAGCTTTAGACTTATGTCAGAGCTAACCTTTTGTGAAACTGGCCCTAGTCCTACATTGCAGTAGCTGGTGGTAAAAAGAAATACAGAAAAGCTTTTAAGCCCTATAGACAGTTTAGTATCAGTATCTGAAAGAAGCGTTTAAGGATGTTAATCCTGACCAGCCATCAATTATGCACAATGCTTTTATGGTATTTTTCTATCTTGACAGTAGTTTTCTTCAAGCGGACATCATCCCCTGTGAATAGAAGGCATATGGTTACTACACAGTAAATTAGATTGGGGGAAGCTGTTTTATTAGCCTGGTATCCTATTGACTTGGCATAAGATCATGGATTTCAATCTCCAAATGCATTGTAGCATCCCCTTTGTATTGATCTTCAATATCTTTTATTTCACTGGTACATATGAAGGAGAGAAATGAAAGATAAAAAGAAAGAAAACCAATATTAGATTATAAGAGCTTTACAAGTACTCAAGGCTTTAAGGAACTTATAACTGTTAGGGAAATGATGTGTTTGTAACTGATACTGTTGTATGTCCATTTTGAACCAGACAACACATCAAAACATTGAAACTGGTTGCAGCTGTTTTCTAGTGCCTGTATTTTCTCTTTACATTTTGATCTTTTACAAGAAGGGAAAATGGAGTGTGCAATATAATAGTTTTGATTACCTTCTTTAATCCTTTCTCAATTAAACTTGATATATCTTTTTGCATGAACTTGAGCATATATGTACTTTTACTTTTCATGGCATTTTATGCCTTCATCTAAAAGACTACTGAATGGTCTCAGTTGATAGATGCCTCTTTGGATGAATTCTGAAATTTTTGATTTCCCTTTGGATGGAAGAGATGCACAGGCTCCATTTCCCACATCTACTTTGGTAATCATTAAAAAACTTTCATAGCTTATAAATTAATTGTAGAGTTGATTAAACCAAGTCCTTAGGTTCACATTTTGAGGTCAAGTCCTAGGCAGGTCATTTGGCATGGGTCACTCCAAGGTACAAAACTCATATATCTGGTTTATGTTATTGATATATACAGATATAATACCAAGGAAAGCTGCCTTTCACTGGTTCTCACACAGCCCAACATTATTTTTGTAAGGTAAACCCAGAGAGAGTAGGATATAGTATTGGAAAAGGTAGAGTAAGATTCACCTAGCTAATTATTTTTCTTAATTGATAATCAGCTCATATCAAAGGTGCTAATACAGGCAGTGTGACAATATGGTAATCGATCATGTTTTGATGAAAAAGCAGAAATAACTACCAATGCTGGGCAGTGCAATGAGCTGTTTTCTGCTTGAGCAATTAGATTATTGCAACTGCAGAGTCTTCTGTTTGTCTTTAGGGAAAATGATCTATAAATGGCAAACTTGCTGTCTGCTTGGCTCTATATTACAGTTAGAAAAAATTCCCCTCAATTTTTATAAATATAAATAAATTAAAGTTAAGAGACAGTGATTGTGTTACTGACATTTCCTAGTCTAATGGAAAAACGTTGAAGGTTTGTGTTTTGTTTATGGTAAATATTTACAAAGCTTTTGATTCACTCTTATTTCACTGTTGGGTCTCATGCTTACTAAATATAGCAAAGAATTAACCCAATTCATTGTAAATTTTAGAAAGCCACCACAATATTGAAATTTGTTTGTTCATCTATTGGCAAATGTATTGAATTTCCCCTTTGAAGCAGCATTTCGGTGTGCATGATTATTTTCTAGTCAGGGGTAACTCACTTTGGCAGAATTGGGTGTCAGAATGTCAGTTCTGCACATCAATTATTACAATTAACATTCTTTCATAAACTAAGTATGAATTTGCCCTGGATTGATTGACTTATTTTTCCTCTTTTGATGTATTCTAATAAGTTTTTCTTACCCTACCAGTCATAGTCCCTTTTCACAACGAGCTGATACAGTCTGTATTGAGACTCTTTGAGAGACTGACAGATTATTAACCTTGCTAGCAAGTTGTACAAATGGAACCCTCCCTCCCCGCTGAACACTTAATTGAACTTATAAAAGGGAGTAAACCCCTTGTAACATTGTTACAGGTTAGGAGGTTAAGAACTCTCTAAGGCCACACTTACAACAGCGGACTAACTAGTATTCGGATCAAATATGGCTGACCCACTTAAATGCTTGTTGTGAAATTCCCCCCGGAGAATCTATTCATTGGATATTAGGGGATTATACAGCAAGCTTTTAAGTGGGTTGCCATATTTGATCTGCATTTTACCCAAATCATAAGATACGGTGATATTCAATCTGACAAGGTTTTGGATCATTCCTGTTTTCATTTTTCTTATATTTAAAACTATTCTTCTTGTATTTCTATATTTGTATTACCTGGAATAAAGCCAAAGATCTAAATTTGAAAATAATTTCCTCTCTTATCAGATGCAGAACAGTGTTTGTTTTAAAAGACTCCTGAATCATGAAAGTAACATCACACTTGTACATTTACCTTACTTAAGGCAGGGGGAGCAGGCAATCTACTTCAACAGGAGCTGAACCCACGTTAAAAAGTTTTTCTTAACTTATTCAGTTAAAGCATAAAACCAGAGGCAACTTTTAGACTAGCATCCTCAGCGTATATTGTAAAGCTGCTCAGCTGCATTAGCTATTACCTGTTTTACACTGTCAGAAAATATTGGCAACTTCTGAAGTGAAGAATTCTCAATTATTTCAATTCATTGGATGAAGTAATCTTCCCATATATAACATGGAACTGAAAAGAATAAAAGACAGTTTGTTGTAATACAATGTCTGTGACATGTGGGTAGAGAGCTCTTGGTACATCTGTGCACAATGTGTGGGGTATTTTAAATGCATTGTACATTGATTTGTGGTTTAATTCATTTTTAATTCAAGGCAGTATCCATCCAGATGGTGTAGGTTATTCTTATCGCTGGAAGTTGGTGGTGTTCTGGCTACCATATACTTGTTGGTACACAAGCAAGACAGGGTAGTGTTTTCCTTCGTTTAGCAGTTTTCCAAATAAAAAAAAGGTGAATATTGTCATTCAAAGAATAAATTGATTGCATTAGTTTTTGTTAAAACCTGCTATTTGTTTAAATGTGTAAGTCAAAGTTCATCTGCTTTGCTTGTTTGAGATATTGTAGATGAAAAAGCAGCAAAATATTATGGGCCAGGGTGTGGTCACATCAGAAGCACTGCAATTTTGTTTTCAGAAATTAATCTTGAAAACCTATCATTCATTGTTTATTTTCTCAATTGATTTATACAATCTGCTGTGGAATTCATGAGGAAACAAAAGTTTCAGGAATTTTTTTAGACGACCTTCATGCTCTCTAAAGTGATGTAGTTGTTTTTGCACATGGCCCGCTTATTAAGAGATTGAAGCTAACAAATGACATTTTGTTAGGTTACCGCAAAATATAAATCTTACATTGAATTTTGGTTTTATTTGCTGCAGTTATCAAGTGGAATATATAATCCTTAATTGAAAATGGCATTTAAGATTGGTTATGGTGCAATTTTAGATTGACCTCATTTGCTAGGGGAATGACCCAAAACAGCTTTATAGAATAGCATTATTTCAAAGTACCATCAATAATTTTAGATTTTCACCTAAGGGCAGCTTTTGACATTGATTTTAATGATTGGGAGAATGTTTTATGCTTTGAATTATAATCATGAGAAAATAACTTGTGTTGATGTGATGAATTAGCGGGCTTATATATGTGAGAGTTATGAGGGCAGTGTGATAGAATCATGATTAAAAATATTGTTTCTGCATCTACTGGTATCACTATTCTACATTTTGTTTGTCTAACTTAAGGAAATAGAAGGTTTAATTATAATTAAATGATGGGAAAGTCGTGTGTTACCGTATTTAAACCTGCACACCTTAACATTCTGCTTACTGCTTAACTTAAAATTACAGAACAAGTGAGGGCAAACTAAATGTCTTCTTTCTGGGGTGGTCTTTAGCAGTGGTCTTATAACAGCACAAGAAGCAGCCTGAGAAGGCGAACTTAGCAGAGAGATTGCTACACAAACAGATGATAGGGTGATCTATCTTGTGATGTCATAAATTCTGTCTAGCAGAAGACAAAAATGAATTTTGCATAATGGATTTATGTCAGATTCCTACAAATTCAGATAAATTGAATTCCTTTAGTTTTGTTACAAACGATTTGAGCACCTTGTTCTATTTTGCCTTTGAAGTGCTAGCTGATAAAAAGTATTTCTCTGTTTTTAAATGTATATTGAACCCAACTTTCTTAGTCAAATATGTTCCCTTTGTCATTGTGTTAGATGTGAGGGTACCATAGAGCAGCATGACAGCCAGTGCTAGGCCAGTGAAGGCAGATATACAGTATAGCCCACTCCATCAACCCTACGTCCCAGCAGCAGCCTCCACCAACAACTCCACAAGTGCCACTGGGATCCTTGGCCTCTGGAGTAAATTCTGTTGCAGCACAATGAAAACCAGAATGGCCACTGCAAGTGTCATAATGGTTGTTTTGGTGTGCATTTTCATTGCCTTCAGTCTCGTCTATTCCAAACCTGTGAACGCCACCTTATGTGCACAGCCATCACAGCCTGCGTCCATAACTCGTGCTCCCCTTCAGAACATGGATTTATTGTTTGAAAGTAAAGGGCGGATACGTTTCAAAGGCACCAAGCGCCATCTTCCACAGTGCATTATCATTGGTGTGAGGAAATGTGGCACAAGAGCACTTTTAGTATTCCTCAATCTACATTCACACATTCAAGTGGCACAGGAAGAAGTTCACTTCTTTGACAAAGATGATAATTATGACATGGGATTAGAATGGTACCGTAAAAAGATGCCATATTCTTTTCCTAATCAAGTGACTGTTGAGAAAAGTCCAGCATATTTCATAACTCCAGAAGTACCGGGAAGGATCTATCACATGAACAGTAGTGCCAAACTCATCGTCATATTCAGGGACCCAACTACAAGAGTGATCTCAGATTATGCCCAAATACTAGATAATAAAAAAGCAAAAGGAAAAGCAGAAGATTGGCCCAAATTTGAGGACATTGTTATGAATGATGATGGTTCAATAAACACTGAATACAAAGCAGTGCGAATCAGCATTTATCATCGACATTTAAGACGATGGCTAGAAGTTTTTGATCTCAACCAAATTCATATTGTGGATGGTGATAAGTTGATAACTGACCCAGTGTCAGAGATTTCTAAAATAGAAACTTTTCTCGGTCTTGACCACCAGATTTCAGAGGAGAACTTATTTTTTGATAGAAGAAAAGGATTCTATTGTATGCGCAATAAAACTGAAGAAAAATGCTTGAATGAAACCAAAGGAAGAAAACACCCAGACATTGATGATGGTGTATTGAAAAAGTTACAAAATTTCTTTGTACCACACAATAGGAAACTGTTCAAAATGATTGGAAGAAAGTTTGATTGGCCAGAACCATAGTTATGTCTGTAAATTTTTAGATTTCCTCACATTGTGTTGAATTTATACATTATTTTTATTTTGTATTGATTTTATCTTTATCAAAATAATTTAGTTTGACAGGTCAGGTGATTTCTAAATAAAAAGGGAAATGACAAGCTGCCTGTCGCAAAGATGTTTATATTTTTCCTGTATCAGGAACAGCACATATCAAATGCACGTAGTCCTTGAAGTGCCAATGTTAAGAAAAAAATGTTTAAAGAATCTGGAAGCAATATTTAAGAGCATTGAGAATTCTTTATACTTATTAATAATAAATTAGCATCATACACAGATGAGTAGACAGAATGCAAGTGGTGACTTCCAGTGTAGTATTGCTTGTGACTGCTACAATGCAATTGATATTGAAATGAACTATGACATAAGAAAATGTGCAGTCATGAGAATAACATTGCCCTTAATAATGGAATAGTATTGTTTTGTGTGGTGCTATGTTATGCTATTTTGCAAAGAAGACCATCGGAGAGGGATTTCCGTAAGATATTCATTCTCAGCAGTCCATGACAAACCAAACAAACCATGACACCTCAATGCTATATCTTTGTTGTGTATGATAAATATTAATACCAGCATTATGTGCACTTTTTTCCTGTATTTGGAGGTGTCAGTAGTATTCATACAGCATTGGGAAATAACTATGAGAAAACAAAAATATGATTTTGTTACCTTATCACTGATGGCTTTGCTGTTAAAGGCTGACAATCTGAACTTAACCTTAGAAAGTAGTTGCATCTGAATTTATTAGTGCATAGTTAAAATATTAATTATGCTTTGACACTGCATTTCCATTAGTGTATGCAACAAATTGAACTTACTCTCCCATACAGAGAATAAGCCAACATTGTGGACATTTTTAAAATTTTTTTTTCTTTTTCTTCTTTTTTTAAAGGAATATGTTAAGCCTCTGTGTATTGAGGAAACTTGTTGAAAGTTTTTTAATATATATATGTATTATATATGTACTGTATATATGAATTGTCACCCTAGTCAGTATTGTAAAAATGTGACTAAGTAGATTCAAGTTAGCAACAATTTTAAGATAATTTCAATTTTTGCAAATTATTTATACTATGGCAGCACAAATTTTCTACTTAGCTGTATATAGTAAAGTAAAATGATCTTTTTTGTATTTGGTTTTGCAGTTTGATTTTGAAATTCAAATGTAACTTTACTCATTTTTTTTCTAAGTATAGCGTACAAACAAACAAACATTTTATTTGCTGTTGTGTTATCAATGTGTATGATATATCATTGTGTTAATTTATATATCATGTCCTCATTTAGTATTAAAGTGAATGTTTTACACATGGTATTATATATATGCCATACATTATTAGTATCTCATTGTCAAAGTAATAAACCTTGAATGACCATCCTTTAAATGTTGAAATATTTGAAGTTTACTGCAAAACAGAGTGTATCCTTCTGATTTTTCTTGTAATATGAAAAAGCTTGAAAAGATAATTAAATACAATTGTCACACACTCAAAAAATTGGATATGCTTTGCAGTGGTTTTTAGGAATGTATAATGTCTTGACTTTGCAGTAAAAATGTAGCATTAGGGAGCATTAGGGTGCTTTCCCAGAGATTTAGATCGATCTAAAGATTAAGTTTTAGATCGACCTAACTCCCTAGGGGTTCACGCTAAATTGCAGTCAGCCTAGCGGACACCATAGTTAATTACCCCCTCACAGTTTTTAGTAGGCGGGACAGACGCTTAAGCCGGCCAAGCTGACAGTAATCTAGTGAGACTCCCCACAGGGATAGATCGATCTAAAAATCTATGGAAATGGGGTGTTAGACTCGCACATCTTACTAGCTATGACAGTCCAACTCTGCGGGGGGGGGGGGGGGGGGGGGAATGCTTGCTAAAGTGCAATCAGCGACATCAGCTTAATCAGCACATGATAGTAACTTACCCCCTAGATGTGTGAGGAGGCATGTCAGACAATTAAGCTGATTCCACTGATTACCGTTTTAACAAGAATCCCCACAGACATGGACTGGCCCAGCTTAAGTACAAAGTGTGACTATGAATACAGACTAAGACCCCATTTCCAGAGATTAGATCGATCTACTTTAGATCGACCTAACTCCCTGGGGGTTCACCCTAAATATATAGCTGTCAGCCGAGCGGGCACGAAAGTTAATTACCCCCTTACAGCTTGTAGTAGGCAGGACGAACATTTAAGCCGGATTATCTGACAGTAATCTAGTGAGACTCCCCGCGGGGATAGATCGGTCTAAAAGCTCTGGGAATACAGCCTAAGAGAGTGAAACTTCATGTTACCTACTCTGACCTCTCTTTACCAGCCATATTTGAAAAAAAAAATGCGTAGTTGCCCAAATTGTTATTTAATTTGTTTTAGTTTAGGTAATAAACAGGCCTACCCAACTACCAGACTTGGCTGAATGATCCTGAATTCACTGGTAGATTGGACCACACTACCCGTTTTCAAGGTGAACGTCAGTACATGCTTCAAAGTATCAGACGCCACACTGCTCTTGCCTAGTACGCTATGTGCATGTGATGATTCTGAGCAGGGTTGGATAGCAGTGCATCTCATCTCAAAATTTATTCCGGTATGATACTGTGAAATGCGTACTGATGCACACCTTGAAAACGGGTAGTGTGGCCGATCTACCAGTGAATTTGGGATCATTCGGTGCTGAGTCTGGTAGTTGGGTAGGCCTGATGAAGCCCCCACTTGGTTTCCTCCCCTGATCTTGTTAAATTTCTTCCTTATTTTGACAGAATATATCTCAAATTAATAAATGGCCCTTTAGTCCGTTTTTAAGTTCAATTTATTACACAATTTTTAATCATGAGGCCTTTTTCCCAAAGGGTTAAGGAAAAGGAGCAAAATTGGTAAAAAAAATTGTTGATATTTGTAATGTTTTGCTTGCTTTAAACATGTCTTTTAAGACAATTGCTTTTTACAAGTCTGAGGTGGTTTTCATTGTGCAAAGTCAATAGAAAAGTTTCTGAATAACCTCCAGTGGAGTGTTTGATGGTATTCTTCCTCAAGGCTTTATTAATATTTAACTTAAATTATCTATGTGCTTGTCGGTACAAATATTCAACTCAAGTTGGTTTTAAAAGATTTATTGTGAAATAGATTAGGTAAAAATTGAATCAGTTTTACTCTCTCTCTCTCTCTCTCTCTCTCTCTCTCTCTCTCTCTCTCTCTCTGGAAGCTAGTATCGATTAACAGGCTCTCTTGGTGTGAGTTAGCTTCATTATCAGACAAAATCAAACTGCTTTTTTAGTTGGTAAACATGGCACATGTGTGGAATCAGATGTAAAATATATTATCAAATTTGTAGATGTGCACAGAAAACACTAAATTGACTTCTGGCTTCACTTGAGCCCTGGTAGGCACTCCCTAGTACTTATTTAAAGCATACTGGATGGTTTAACTGGAAATAAGCAATTTTTATTCAGTAAATTATAATTGACTTAATTTTACAAAACTGAAATTGTTTAACTGGATGTATACCTGTAATTTGGTAAATCATGATTGATAAATTGAAAGTTGGATACAAATAAAATGTACAATAGTTGATCTTCATTTGTTAGCTTCCGCTTGAAATTGAAATAAGGGAAAAGGAGTACAGTATTTTCATATTGACACTTGTCATTTGAGATTAAGTTTTCTACAGGGGAAAATCTGTTCCAAGAAATATCATTAACAAAGCATGTTGGCTGCTACTTTAGAGCAGGAAAGAAGTATGATCAATTGGCTGTTCAGAAGCTTAAAATGCATGATCTATTGGCAACAGTGGGTGTGATACTGTGAATAGAAACTGGAAAGTCAGTCATTTACAAAATTTAATATTTTGTCAGTTGTCTGTGTGCCAATAAGAACTGACAGAGTAAATGGTGTCTCATTTCAAAGAATTCTCTTTTGTTTATGAGAAAACATAAATCTGATTTTGTCTTCTGCTCTGAAATACTATTCTTTATATGAGAAGAAGTGGATGTGAAAATATTTATACCTCATCTTAATGAATTCATTTCCCCGTTGCCTCTGCTGTCAAATTTATCCACTTCACAGAGGCAGAAATTGAATTAGTACAGGATGAATTTGATGAAATGAGATCTTATTCCCTGTATTCTGCAGAAACATGAGAGATATTACATGCACTGTGGGATCAAGTGAACATGATAACAAAAAGAAGAAAAGGTTATTTTACTTTAAATCATGAGACCAGGAAGCAGAATTTTATGGAAAACATTTTGTTCTCAGCTACAGAAGATGAAAATAGCTTCAAAGTTCATAACTTTCACAAATCCTTTGTTGTAGAGTTGTAAACAGCAGTAAATACTTTGGATACAGATGTTATAGTTATATCATAAATGCATGCCATATTCCTGATAGACTTTTCCTTGTTTCTAGGTTTGGCAAACATCACTGAAGGAACCAACCAGGAAACACAGCACAGGGGAAACAAGAACATAGCTTAGTTGTAATCCAAGCAAAAGATCATCAATACAGACTACAAAGGTAATAAAAATTGTATGAATATAAAGTATGTATTGTCTAAAAGGCATCTGTAGTTGAAGATAACAGTCTATGCAGAATCCTCTTTTTGAAAAAATGAAAGAAAAAAAAACACAATCTGGTACACAAGCTGGCTCTTTTTATTGAATATCCCTTTATGAGTCACTCATTTTCATCAATGTTAATACATCATCTAATAAGTGTACACAGTAAATAGACAAAATATATGAACAGAAGCAGGTATGAAAAGAAGTACATAGTACGTCATTCTCAACATATCGGACATATTCAAAGGTAATGGTTAGTATGAATTATTGAAGATGAAATCTTCTGATTCACAGTAAAATTACGCATAGAAAACAGATCACTTGTTTATTAAGTGCCCAATGATTGATGATCGTAGCATAAATGTAATAACCTTCTAACTGACCAATGAATGTGAGTGAAAGCAATCAGTGCTGATTAACAGCTCATTATGTGCTAGGAGAAATTAGCCTGACAGTGCAGATTAACGGTGGGACTCTGCAACTGTGGATGTGTAGAGAACTGAAAGAAGTAGACAGAGACGGTTACATTTCATATACTGAGAGTGTTGTCTTATGGACAAGATGAATATGTACACATGAAATACCCATTTGTGGATTTAACAGGACTTTGATGGTAGGAGAAATTGGAACGTCCTAGGCAGAATTCACATATTTATTTGTGTCTTAAGATGCAGTAATAGGTATGGCAAGAAGGGTTTTGGAATATGTAGCAAAATGAGGATTTATGTAACCATATGTTGGGGTCAGGTTGCTATCCATACATCTATGCAAAGTAGCTTACTGACTTCAGCTAGTGTATTCCCTGTTTAAGGAGCAAATTTAGATAAGATAGAACAATCTGTCACAGAGACATGATAGATGTTATTTCTTGGATTGCAGACTAAACCTGTCCGGGGGAATATTATCTCTGTTCTTTGTCAAAAACCAGTGTGCAGTATGGGCAGTTTTGCATTTATGTCTGTGTCACATATTCTGTCTAGTGTATATATTCCCCACTAAGACTGCCACATGCACAGTGACATCATGCTATTTGTGATAATCAGTATATATATATATAACCAACTCATGATTAGGGTGAGGATGAAGTGCTTTTAATAAGCTGGAAATTAAGTCAGTTAAGGAGCTTTTTTTATTAGCAGCTTTAATCATTTTTCTCTCTTTCTGAAATAGTTTCCTCAAAATAATTTTTGTAAAACATTTAGAATTTGTTAAAAGGCGAGGGCAGGTCTTCAAAAATAACATTTTGAAATGTGGTATACTGTCTAGTATCAAGCCTTATAATGATTGCTTTTTCAGTTGGTCATATGAATGCAGTATTATTGCCAGCTAGACACATGCATTCTTTTGTTATAAGATAATGATAACATGACTAGCTATAGATGTTCAGGTTTGGTATTGCATGATAATACTGCCACATTGTCTTGATTGCAAAATATCAAATATGAACCAGATGAATCTGATGAAATGTTAGGCTTTTCATGAGATGTTTTTGGTTAATTTGAATTATTTATATGTCAGACCCAGTATATTTGCAATTTATATACATATTAATGGTTTCGGCTAATCTTCTTAGTAATCTTTTACATCATGAAGGCATAATATTACATTGATTTAATTACATTGATTTAATTTCATTAATGCATTCTGTGTGGTCATTCTGTAGTTTGGCCCAGAAATCAATGAAACACTCTCAGATTGCTGCAGAGATGATGGGGTAGCAATTTGCATATATGACTTATATACTGGTTGCATGAACTGTGATAATCTTTACATTTAAAAGTAGCAGCGATGTTCTTGATTTGACGATGAACTGTAGTAATGAAGCATTCTTATTCTCATTTTCCAGGAATGGAATTCTGGATTTATTATCTTGTTGGCAAACAAGATTTTTGTTCAGAAAGAAGACTTGCAGGGAGGAAATGAGACTGGCAAGATGTGATGTGTCACATATGGACATCTCTGAACAGTTTACATACGTGAGACCTTAATGTTATCCAAACATTATCAAATTGGTTTACAAGAAGTACAGAGACACATGGTATTTTGACTGATATTGCTGATGCATGACTGCCAAGATGAAGAAAAAGAAGAGCAAAGGTCAGGGTCTGAGTGGTTGCACCAAGGTGCTCACACAGTCTCAGTCCATACAGACAGATGGCAATAGCATAGACTCAGTAAAAGCCTCTTCAAAGTTCTGCTCATGTAGACAAAGAGTTCTTGCAATATTTTTGCTGATTGGAATTGTTTGCTGTTTTTGTATCTATGGAATATATACCTCAAGTGGGGCACACCTAAAAAGTGACTTGTCCTCTTATACTGAAATGTCCAGCAATACTCAACATGAGACTCAGGGTGACTATGACTTTGGAGTTGACTCCTATCCTTTTCACTCAAGACACACCCAACGTCGCCTGCCCCAGTGCATTATCATTGGGGTTCGTAAAGGAGGAACAAGGGCTCTGTTGAATTTCTTGGACCTTCATCCAGATATCCAAACTGCAGGCAGGGAAATGCATTTTTTCGATGAGCCTGATAGATATAAGCTGGGTTTGAACTGGTACCGAAAACGTATGCCATTTTCTTTTAGAAATCAAATCACTATTGAGAAAACCCCCTGCCTACTTTGTGGAAGAGCATGTAGCTGGAAAAGTGCATGAGATGAACAGTAGCATCAAACTTTTGCTGATATTGCGTGATCCCGTAGAACGTATGATATCTGACTACCTCCAGGTGCGCACGAACAAAGAGGAAAAAGGGAAATCTTACCACAGATTTGAAGACCTTGTCATCGACAAAGAAACCGGTGGAATCCGTGAAAGCTACACTCCAGTGCGGAGGTCTAAGTACCATGTACACATGGCCAGGTGGTTAAAGTACTTCTCTTTGGATCAGTTTCTTCTAATCAGCAGTGAGAGATTTGCCGAGGATCCAGTGACACAGCTCCAGAGAGTAGAGGCATTTCTTGACATTGATCCTCAGTTCAAGAGAGATATGTTTGTGTACAATGAGACAAAAGGGTTCTACTGTATTCGGGATGAGGATGAGCATGTTTGTTTAGGAGAAAGTAAAGGCCGCAAACACCCAAACATTGACCCAGCAGTATTAGCAAAACTACGTGCCTTCTTCAGACCTCAAAACAAGAAATTTTACAGCTTGGTTGGAGTGAATTTTGGATGGCCGTAACAGTTCTTCTGCAGAGATAAACCATGTGTTGTTTACATATTATATTTTTTATATTCAATATTAGTGTAAATGTAGCCATATACAGTGTATTTAGAAGTATGTATCAAAAATGCTCCCAACAAAAGTATTAAAGGAAATATTTTCTGCACTTGCAATATCAAGATTTGAGAAGTAAATGGAGATTTGTCAGTGTGTTGCCTTTTGAGACAATCCTTTATGTATCTACTGCCAAACAGCATGAAGAAAGAACAAAACGGAATGCAGAGTTTGTATGATAAGGTTTGAAAAACTTTGCATGAACTAAACTACGCATTTAATAGTGCCAGTTCTTTATCTTGTTTTGGGAAACTAACCCAGCAATATTTATCACGGATCATTTGATATTCCTAAATAAGTGAATGGGCCTTTGTTAACTGTCAAGTGCAAATAGTGCTCTGTAATATCCAGTTTTGTCAACTAGTGCCATATACATAAGTTAATTTTAATTTAGTATGTTTTATTAATCATATATATATATTAACTTGGTCATACCTTGACAGTTCCCAGTACTTAAACATTTAAGTTTACACATATCTTGGTACAATTTGGTATCATAGGTGCCTTTAGAAATGTTTTTGTTATTATGAAGATTCTTCATTAATGTATTCTATAGGATAACTTCCACTTTTTTGTCTTACTTCAATTATATTCAGTGTTTTAGTAATGGATTTATAACAATGTCAATTTCTTCTTGATTTAATGTGCGTATCATAAAATAACAAAAAAGACAAAAAAAAAAAGTCATGTGAAGTCATGATGTACAGGTCAAGGTATATTATTGGTTTTGCTGTTCACCTCAACCAGTGCTCGAAATTAATGCTGGACAGTCTGCCCAGGTTTGACAACTTTCAGAACGAGCCGTGAAGCTTTCCCACCCTGCAGACATGCAGTCCAGCTACTTTTCAAGATGGCTGGACCTTCGGTTCAGCAACTAATTTTCCTTAGAGGCAAACACTGACCCCAACATTAGATTGAATGTACTCATATGGCTAACTTGTTAAGATTTTTAACTTAAAAGTTAGAATGCTCAAAGTAGAGTGTTTTGGAAATGACTATTTTATCTTTTCTGAATATTTTAACAATTTGTTGTAATATCTTTAGACCTGTCAGACATATCTGCTCTGGAGCTAGTATTAAATTTCAACAAATCACATTTTATTAGGTAGACGCACGTTTCCTCCCAATGTGCTCAAAATTAGTACCCCAGAAATATCTCAAACCATGTTGCCTCACTGTAAAGCTCTGATATTCAGAGCATTTTTTAAAAATAATGTTGCCTTACTGTAAAGCTCTGATATTCAGAGTATTTTCCTAAATAGTGTCAACTCCTGGTAAAGTTCTGATATTCAGGATTTTTTCCACTTAACATTATTGGAGAAGCGAATCGGTTTACAAACTGTAGCTTTTAAATTGTTAGAGAATCTCTTCTTGTTGTATCAATGATGTATTCTAGTGATATTTCAGAAATAAATTTGTTACATGTAGTTTCTGTCACAGATTAAACCCAATACATTATTCATTTTTAGAATGTCAATACAAGTTTGTGGAATTACAAGATGCGACTTAGGAGGGCAAGTTCTAGGACTCAACTTAGAAGCAATGTTTCTTGTAACAATGTAGCAATAATACCATTTCACATCAGTGCACTTTAGGATTTGAATTCTAATTGTTTTAACCAGGTGTTAGTTTGCTACAGACAATACTGGTACTGACATTCTTAAAAGAGGAGATTAGTCTTGCGTACAGTACATTACCCCTTAACATTCAAATTGTCTCTCATTCTGTACCATCTTTTGCTTTAAATCGTCACGTTTCGACTTCAACTTGTGGAAGGGATGCATTTCTACAATGACATATGCGAATTTTTGTGTTAACACCTTTATCTTTGAAACTGACAGACAGCAAAATCCTTGTGAGAACATTTATTTCTGAATATAATCTACAGAGCAGGCATAAATACCTTAGTAACCAAACAGTCATACACATAATGAGCAACAAATCACTTAAAATCCACTGTGACAGACACAGGTCACTTCACCAAATTATCGAAGATTTCTCTTGTCATTCTGGTGACAACTGTCTCTGCTCACAGGCTGCCCATTCTGGTTTTCAATTTGTTTAATTAAAAAATATTTACCAGATGAAATGCTTCTCATTATATTTTGAGGTTATCCTTAGTTCTACTCATGGCCCAATGTTTCTCAAACTGTTAAGGTAACTAAAAATGAATTTACAAGTCACTGCTTGTGCTTCTTGAAAAATCACTAAAATCAAATTTTGTTGATCTGCAGACTGATCAAACAAAATGCTAAAATCTGAGGTTATGTCAAGATGGGAATGTTAAAAACATCTTCCTCAACTTCCTTGGCCCCAAATGATCTTATTGGACTGCTTTAAACCACCCCATATTAATTCCATACAAATAATCTCAAAAATATTTCTTTAACAAATGCACCAATGTAGTACAGATATAACAAAATTTCAGACACTTTCAAACTAAAAGCTTGACTTTGTTAAAAATAATGATTTTACACAACAGACAATGAAAAACTTATTTCATCTAAAATCTTAACAGTTTGGTAAAAATGAACACATGATCCTAACAGTTATGGTCGATGCCACTTTGATCCAGATAGATTTTCAAAGGGCTCATTGGATATTACTGCAGTCATAATATTTATACTGTTATGCACATGCTATTTTGGACTCCTCAAATCAATAAATTTATTGAATTCTGTTAACACTCGGGAGCACAGCACTTCACGTCTGGCACAACCAACTCTTGAAGGTCTGAAAGGTCTGGGACAGGCTTGGCAACATCGAAGTCTTTCAACACAAGTTGGATTGAATCCTGGGAGGGCATCATCACCAACATCTGTAGCCACCTGGTGTCCTCGATGTAGTAGTACACATTAGGGCGAGGCATGCCATTAAAAGTTGAACCTGCGACCAGCGTGTATGCCCCCATGTTCCTGAAGCACAGCCATTCCCCTACCTCCAGTGAAGGCATTGCACAGTTCTTCAGGATGCAATCCAGGCCATCACATGTAGGCCCCCATAGGCTGCTGGTGATGGTGGCCTTCGAATCTACTTCCTAATGTAGAAAAAAATGTGGACATTGAATCCTCCAATCAATCTTTCTGTAAGACATGATACCATACAGAAATATAATAGCAAGGCTCAACCATTTAAGAAAAAGAAGTAAAAGAAAATTGCCATCTCAGTAAAAAAAAACAATAACTACACAGAAAGCAGGCGCGGAATGAGGTCGTCTTCTGGGTCTTCCAGAAGCTGGCAGATTTTGGAGTTTACATTGCCAATAATCTATTTTTTTCTGTCGGCAGGTGGTCAAAAATGAAGGATGTATCAACAAAAATAATTTGGAAAACTGTCAGAAAATTTCTCTGAATCCAACCCTGGAGAGAAAGGAGCTAATTTACAAATCCTAGCTTTTAAGTCACCTATTTTCTTAACAATGGGAGAAAAATCTAACCTTCAAGTAATCAGGGGTTAATTCTGCATGGTCATATAGCAGACAGTTGAAGGAGCCATATACGCCATCATTTATGTAATACATGACCCTAGCCTTGTCCTCTTCCACAGGTTCTGCCTCAACTTCTTCCCTCTTGGCAATAACATTGACAGCAAGGGTGTATGCAGAAGTCGCATAGTAACGGCCAGGCTCAGCAATGATTCTCAAGTCATCATCATCTGGGAAAAGCTCGTCCAGGCTGGTGTTAATTGTCTGGGTGACCTCGTCAAAGTTGATCTCGGGTTGGTCGAAGCCTGGAAAACCACCACCAATGTCCAAGAGGTTGAAGTTGTAGCCGATGACCTTGGCCTGGTCAAATACTTTACGTGCTGCAGAAATGGCTTTCTTGAAGGCTTCTGCTTCTAGGCAACCACTGCCAACATGAAAGCTGAAAAGGCAAAATATTGCATATATGAGACTTGACAATCAGGAAAAGTATTCACTCTACTGAAAATAGAAAAAAAAAATACACATAAACACCACCCACTCAAGCCAACATTCTAGCTTGAATTTGCATTTTGTCCAGAGTCTTACAAGTNAAAAAAAGTCATGTGAAGTCGTGATGTACAGGTCAAGGTATATTATTGGTTTTGCTGTTCACCTCAACCAGTGCTCGAAATTAATGCTGGACAGTCTGCCTGGGTTTGACAACTTTCAGAACGAGCCGTAAAGTTTTCCCACCCGGCAGACATGCAGTCCAGCTACTTTTCAAGATGGCTGGACCTTCAGTTCAGCAACTAATTTTCCTTAGAGGCAAACACTGACCCCAACATTAGATTGAATGTACTCATATGGCAAACTTGTTAAGATTTTTAACTTTAAAGTTAGAATGCTCAAAGTAGTGTTTTGGAAATGACTATTTTATCTTTTCTGAATATTTTAACAAATTGTTGCAATATCTTTAGACCTGTCAGACATATCTGCTCTGGAGCTAGTATTAAATGTTCAACAAATCACATTTTATTAGGTAGACGCATGTTTCCTCCCAATGTGCTCAAAACTAGTACCCCAGAAATATCTCAAACCATGTTGCCTCACTGTAAAGCTCTGATATTCAGGGCATTTTTTTTTAAAATAATGTTGCCTTACTGTAAAGCTCTGATATTCAGAGTATTTTCCTAAATAGTGTCAACTCCTGGTAAAGTTCTGATATTCAGGATTTTTTCCATTTAAGATTATTGGAGAAGAAGCGAATCGGTTCACAAACTGTAGCTTTTAAATTGTTAAGAGAATCTCTTCTTGTTGTATCAATGATGTATTCTAGCGATATTTCAGAAATAAATCTTGTTACATGTAGTTTCTGTCACAGATTAAACCCAATACATTATTCATTTTTAGAATGTCAATACAAGTTTGTGGAATTACAAGATGCGACATAGGAGGGCAAGTTCTAGGACTCAACTTAGAAGCAACGTTTCTTGTAACAATGTAGCAATAATACCATTTCACATCAGTGCACTTTAGGATTTGAATTCTAATTGTTTTAACCAGGCGTCAGTTTGCTACAGACAATACTGGTACTGACATTCTAGATCTTAAAAGAGGAGATTAGTCTTGCATATAGTACATTACCCCATTCAAATTGTCTCTCATTCTATGCCATCTTTTGCTTTAAATCGTCACATTTCGACTTCAACTTGTGGAAGGGATGCATTCCTACAATGACATATACGAATTTTAGTGTTTACACCTTTATCTTTGAAACCGACAGACAGCAAAATCCTTGTGAGAACATTTATTTCTGAATATAATCTACAGAACAGGCATAAATACCTTAGTAACCAAACAGTCATACACATAATGAGCAACAAATCACTTTAAATCCACTGTGACAGATACAGGTCACTTCACCAAGTTATCGAAGATTTCTCTTGTCATTCAGGTGAAAAATGTCTCTGCTCACAGGCTGCCCATTCTGGTTTTCAAAATGTTTAATTAAAAATATTTACCAGACGAAATGCTTCTCAATATATTTTGAGGTAATCCTTAGTTCTACTCATGGTCCAATGTTTCTCAAACTGTTAAGGTAACTAAAAATGAATTTACAAGTCGCTGCTTGTGCTTCTTGAAAAATCACTTAAATCAAATTTTGTTGATCTGCAGACTGATCAAACAAAATGCTAAAATCTGAGGTTATGTCAAGATGGGAATGTTAAAAACATCTTCCTCAACTTCCTTGGCCCCAAATGATCTTATTGGACTGCTTTAAACCACTTCATATTAATTCCATACAAATAATCTCAAAAATATTTCTTTAACAAATGCACCAATGTAGTACAGATATAACAAAATTTCAGACACTTTTAAACTAAAAGCTTGACTTTGTTAAAAATAATGATTTTACACAATAGACAATGAAAAACTTATTTCTTCTAAAATCTTAACAGTTTGGTAAAAATGAACACATGATTCTAACAGTTATGGTCGATGCCACTATGATCCAGGTAGATTTTCAAAGGGCTCATTGGATATTACTGCAGTCATAATATTTATACTGTTATTCACATGCTATTTTGGACTCCTCAAATCAATAAATTTATTGAATTCTGTTAACACTCGGGAGCACAGCACTTCACGTCTGACACAACCAACTCCTGAAGGTCTGGGACAGGCTTGGCAACATCGAATTCTTTCAACACAAGTTGGATTGAATCCTGGGAGGGCATCATCACCAACATCTGTAGCCACCTGGTGTCCTCGATGTAGTAGTACACATTAGGGCGAGGCATGCCATTGAAAGTTGAGCCTGCGACCAGCGTGTATGCCCCCATGTTCTTGAAGCACAGCCATTCCCCTACCTCCAATGAAGGCATTGCACAGTTCTTCAGGATGCAATCCAGGCCATCACATGTAGGCCCCCATAGGCTGCTGGTGATGGTGGCCTTCGACTCTACTTCCTAATGTAGAAAAAAATGTGGACATTGAATCCTCCAATCAATCTTTCTGTAAAACAGGATACCATTCAGAATTATAATAGCAAGGCTCAACCATTTAACAAAAAGTAGTAAAAGAAAATTGCAGTCTCAGTAAAAAAAAAAAAACAAAAAACAAACTAACTACACAGAGAGCAAGGGCGGAATGAGACCATCTTCTGGGTCTTCCAGAAGAGTGTAGATTTTGAAGTTTACATTGCCAATAATCTTTTTTTTTCTGTTAGCAGGTGGTCAAAAATGAAGGATGCATCAACAAAGATAATTAGGAAAACTGTCAGAAAATATCTCTGAATCCAACCCTGGAGAGAAAGGAGCCAATTTACAAATCCTAACTTTAAAGTCATAACAATGGGAGAAAAATCTAACCTTCAAGTAATCAGGGGTTACTTCTGCATGGTCATATAGCAGACAGTTGAAGGAGCCATACACGCCATCATTTATGTAATACATGACCCTAGCCTTGTCCTCTTCCACAGGTTCAGCTTCAACTTCTTCCCTCTTGGCAATAACATTGACAGCAAGGGTGTACGCAGAAGTCGCATAGTAACGGCCAGGCTCAGCAATGATTCTCAAGTCATCATCATCTGGGAAAAGCTCGTCCAGGCTGGTGTTAATTGTCTGGGTGACCTCGTCAAAGTTGATCTCGGGTTGGTCGAAGCCTGGAAAACCACCACCAATGTCCAAGAGGTTGAAGTTGTAGCCGATGACCTTGGCCTGGTCAAATACTTTACGTGCTGCAGAAATGGCTTTCTTGAAGGCTTCTGCTTCTAGGCAACCACTGCCAACATGAAAGCTGAAAAGGCAAAATATTGCACATATGAGACTTGACAATCAGGAAAAGCATTCACTCTACTGAAAAGAGAAAAAAATACACATAAACACCACCCACTCAAGCCAACATTCTAGCTTGAATTTGCATTTTGTCCAGAGTCTTACAGATAACTTCAACAGACATGACAGAACATAGTTTTGCAGTTACCGTCTCCATGAAAACTTTCAGTCATTGAAATTTAGATGCAGGCAATAGCTACAAAAAGACATTCATACGATAATAAAATGTATCACAGGTATCATAAACAATTGCATGTTTCAAAAACCGAGCAAATTACAGAACATTAATCCATACTGAATAAAGTAGTGCTTCGTAAATCTTCATTTTATTCAACTGCATCTGGAGGAAATAGAATGCATTTTTCAAAGTTCAGTTCTCAAAAAAGCAAGAATTCACGAAAAAACTCAAAAAATATAAACTGGTAGTACATACCTAACTCCAACAACATTGAGGCCCATGTTTTTGGCCTTCTGCAGCAAGGGCAATGCTTTCTCCGGCTCCACTCCAAATTTGCACCCAAGGTTACAAATAGCTTTGGAAGCAGGTGGTAAGATTCGGATGACCAGGTGTGCCTCAGGATAGAAAGCCTTCACTTTCTGCAGTTCATTTTCATTATCAAAGGTCATCAGGGAGACATTTTTTTCCTTGGCAAATCTGATGTAGGACTTCATCTTGCACGGGTTGGCATAGATTATACGAGAAGGATCAACTCCAAGTGATAGAACTTGCTCAATTTCTGCCTTGCTCGCACAGTCAAAGCCAGTGCCAAGGGAGGCTAAGAACTGCACAATTCCTGGGTCATTGTTACACTTGACAGCATAGAATGGCAGTACGCGGGGCATCATGGATATCCACTCAAGGTGCTTCTCAACCACAGCACCAAGATCAGCAATGAAAAAGGCATCCTGGAAAAGATAATGGTTTGGTTGTTTGGTTCATTGTTGCACAGTAGTCTTCAAGTGTTACTATATTTGTTTTTTGCACATTTAATTTCAAAGTGAGAGTGTCACAAAGTGTAATGGTGCAATGAAGAAACTATTCTATTCTGTACGACAGTGTAAGAAGGCAAATTATATCCATATTCAATGTCTTATTTTGCTTTTTTCCATTTCAGAATCTTTGTATAAACCATTTACTCATCATTTATTATCGCCAGAACCTTACATATGCTGTTCCATAAAATGCCCCCGAAAGTCTCCTTATCCTGCAGGCATTCCGATAGTCAAAGCAACCCAGAATTATCAGTCTTTTGAAATCTCATGAACAAACATTTTCTACATCTGTTTAATCAAGTTTGTCAGTACAATTGATATCCATTATGAGGTAAACTTATTCAACATGTGACTAATACAAACTGGTGACAGTCTAAGGTCCATACACATGCATGCTGGACCCATTTAATGACATCATCAGCAAATAGACTAGCCTATTTAATGACCTCACCTCTGTCCCTTGTTCTTGGATTTTGCTTGCAATCAATTTTTTTATTGCTGGCATACCATTCATCACCTCAAAGCAATGAGAAGAATTCTTGATTGGGTATGTGATTTTCATCTTGATGAGATGTAAAATGTGGATTCAAACTGTTCACTAAATACTGGTTACTAAGAAATACGCAACAACCTGAAAATAAAAAAAAATGTATCTATGAGCTCCAAATAACCATTTTAACATTTCATTGCCTTTTAGTAAAAAAAACTAAGAAGTATTTTCTACGTGTATCATTATGAATTGTTGGGAGGTGGTAGCCCAATTTTCAATAGCATTAGAAACCTCTTTTGGAATCAATCAGTCATTAATTAAAAACCTTTACATCAGACTAATAATAAGTATTTTTTTAAGCAAAAGCTGATATAGAAATTAGATAAATATAAATGAGAACAAGTACACTGCGAGTTGAAATGCCTGCTCCTTTAGCAAATGTCAGCTGGGATCCCAGGGGGGTTCCGCGTTGAAGTTTAGCTTGAGCCTAAAGAGGCAGAAGCCCGAAGGGTTGGGGTTATAGTAGTGGTATGTGTAACCGCCCTGAAAAAGAGAAAAGGTGGTTTAAAATTAGCAAATTGGAGTGGAAAAACGGCATGTTTCATCCTCTAGTCTTAATGACACTTGTATATTAAAACCAATCAGAAAGTTGCAATTGGGCATGAACAAAATGAACAACTGGAAGGTATACAAGCAAATATGAGAAAATTGCAGTGTGATCACAATACTAGACCAACAAGAAGAAAAGAACAAAATGGTTTTATTCTTGCTTTGCATAGAACCATACGCTCAGAAGGTTTATAAGCTATGCATTTAAAGCCACAGGACTGTACCCTTGATGACGTTATATCAACATTTGATGATGACTATTATCGGTGAAACCAACAAAATGTACTCACGGTACAAATTTTAATACCAGAAACCAAGAACAAGGGGTCAATTGACAATTATGTGACAACCCTTCAAACTCAAGCTAAAATGTTGGTTATTTACACAAGTTTAGAAAAAAGGCCACAGACTTTGAGTGGCAACACACAAAGGAATCTTCGAGAATATCAGTTAAGTAACTGCAAAGACATTTATTGATCAGCTAAAAAACATCAAAAAAGGAAAGATGTAACAATATCTGTTTAAGTACTTGTTGTATCTAGAGTATTTGTGTTGAGATTAAAAGACAAGCTAGGCTCAACCTAGTGTCTCTGGAATATGGCCGACAAACTGATGTTGTTTCTTACACAACAGCATGTTCATGACTAAAAATGCTGTAAATAGATGTTCTCATGAAAAAGAGTCTTCAAGGAGAAAAAAAAACCTTGCATGTTTACAAAATAAGCAGCTTGCCATTATTAGTTTTCGAAACAGTTTCTAAATGCACCAAAAGAATGTTTTTTTTTTCAAGCAGGGAAATCTAAAACAAAATATGTATTTGACATTATCCAGACAAAGCCTTTAAGCACAGATTTCAACTTGTAGAACATAAAATATTAATGGTTTAATGATTACTGAGCTTAACCACAGCTGCTTACATAAACACCAACATATGCTGCCACTGCCACACCTGCAACGCCTACATGAATGAGGCTTAAAATTTTATCATTATTTTAGGGGGGGTTGAGAGAATATTTTCATTGACTGTGGACTAAGAAAAATTCCCTTTCATTAGTTTCGAAACACAATTTGTACATCCATATGAATTTACACTGTACGAAGTACGGTAGGATGAATTTGATCTCCCTCAAATCTTCCTTACAATTCTAAGACCCTTTTAATCATCCCAACCAGCATGTAAGTCCATAAGGCCAGATACTGACTTACAATCATTGAAATTAACTTCATTTTGCAAGTGAGAGAAACGCACTTGCAATGCACGTTTTATTATTAGCATAACATACGAAATATCGACCGAGTCACGTGGATTGCATCGAGATAACGTCATCTTTATTTGTAGTAATTTAATTTCTTACACAAGCAGATTTTATAAATATACATATATATACCAAAGTAATTAATCCTGATTGTGTTAAATACTAAGAATGCAGAATGATTGACCATATGAGACCATTTACTATTGATACAAAGGCCAAAATCCACACCGCCAGCATGTACCGTACGTTCAGATATTTCGATCGACATCTCTTCTAATTCTGATAAAACAACGTCTCATCTTACCTTTACGGGAGCTTCGCACCCTTCAGTGCCCTTTTCCTTTAACGAGGTGATTTTGGAAATTTAAAGTTACAACTAAGAAATCTTCAAATTTTCGCGTTCCACAGCACCACCGTCAGCCTTCCTCGCCGTAGACTATTGATCTGAATGAAATAGTGCTAACAGAGGACGTCATTTATATAGGCTACGTCCTTTGTGTAACATATCCTTCCGCGCAGATAAAATATTATATAATAACAAAATATGAGTGGTATCCAGTGGTTTATGTAATTTGAGTTTTAAAAAAGTTTTAATTTATCTCAATTCAAAGGATGATAAGAATAATTTTTGCAAGCCATATATTGGGATTATTTTCTACTGCGCTGCTATAACCATGGAATGGTAAAGAGGGAACAACTTGTTCAGACTGGATATAGTAGCTATTTTCTTACGCTGTTCTTAGGCTCAATGGCCAAATGTTCGGAATATTTTATTAATTTCAAATTTAATAGGAATATTTTCTACTGCACTGTGCTTGGTATGGCGCTGTAAAGAGGTCTCAGCATCATCGGACTAATTAGGCCCCTAATAATATTCTCAATCTGTTGCTATTCTCATGGCAGTCTTGGGCCAAGTAGTTGAATGCGGTAGGCCACTAATGTTCGGGATATGTTATTGAAAAAAAGTAAATTGGGACTAATTTTCACCGTGCTGCAATTGCTATGCAGTAGTGAAAAGGTATCAGCATACTCAGACTGGATATATCTGGATATAACTAGTAGAGTTGCCAATCCCGTCAGGCCCACCCTCGGCTGTCCCCGATTGTAGTATTATGTAAATTCTAACCTTTTGTTGATGTTACAAAACGTGGAGTTCTTTCATTCTTTTCGTCGTAGATAAAATCAATTGTAAGTTGCGAAAGAGAAGTCATAATTAAAAACAAAGTACTGGGGTATCTCCAAAGCAATAAATTTGAATAATCAATGTCCAACCTTATAAGGTTGGCAGAAAATGAAAATGAAACCTAATGACGATTCAAAATTGCTGAAAAATCGGCTTCATATATTGTCATTAGGCTCTTTTGATCTCTCCCAACAAACACAGTCACCATACCTGAGAGTCATCCCCAGGTCCAAGCGTTATATACCCTTCCTGCCAGAAGAATTTATTCATGTGTAGGGCAACTGAAGTAGAAACGTATTCCTTAGTTTTATTAATTTTGTTTTTGAGCCGGACGCAAATATATAATACAAGTATAGCGTAAAATAAAAATAACATTTAATATCTGACACATGATAGTGGTTCTTTATACACCAGCAGTAATCACACCCATGTAACTACACCATCAAATATGCAATTAATGCGACAAAATAAATTCTTGTTACGTACGTACTTAATGTATCAATGCATGCAAGGTATTAATGACAGGTACTTTACCAAGTACATGTAGGCCTACGTGACGCTTTACACTATAATTGACTGCATTTCTGGTGTCTTCTTCTGTCCTTAGTATTTATATTTCATGATTGGTAACAGGAATGGAAGTCCGGGCTCCCATATGAGTAGTACAGGTTAGGGTTATTTGGAATATTGGGGGTTAATGTATGGGACGAATATCACCTGTACAAAGTAATGGGAAGCAGACTACGGTTCCTAGCGGACTTTCATCCCTGTTACACCGGTATCATTACAATTGTCATAAGAAAAATCATTATTTTCGTTTCAAATCGTTTCATCTTGGTGTAGAAAAGAGTAAAAATGTGAGGATTGTATCACTGCCTGGTCATGCCCTAGCTTGTCAGTGCCAGTTAAGCCCCCTTTACACTGAACGGCGTCCTTTCTGCGTCCTGTAGTACGGCCCCTTTTGAGAGTAAAAAAAATAATAATAAAAAAATATAAAAAAACTTAACGCAACTGGCCGATCATTGAGCATTTACTCTGCAATCATTTGAAGCGATGCTTGTGCCTCCTTTCTAAGACCACAGCGATGCCAGTTTTCATGGTCGCATGAAGGACGTAGAAAGGATGCCGTCCAGTGTAAAGGGGGTTTTAATAATGGTTAGTATTGTTGGGCAACTTTGTGATTTTTATTATTATTTATTTATTTTACACGTAATACTTCCGAACAAAGGTCCTGTTATTTGGACGGTTTGAAAAAGAGAGTCGCAAAAACCGACGACCTAAACTATGATCATTTACAGAAAACGGTTATACTACATAATGTAGACTCTGCAAGGGAAAGTTTAACATAAAAAGGAAAAAATAAAACAATTGATGAATATCTTAACCATCTCCCAAAAGACGGCGCTCCAAGGTCTTTATACGTCACTGACGGTTTAATATAATTTTTTTTACTTTTCTATATCCACCCGTATCCTTGTTCCTTCTTATTTACACGCAATGACATCATTTGTGTGCATTTTGACTTTTGATTTTCATTTGAGAGCTTATAAATTTTTCATCTGTTTACGTGCATATGATATGATCATTCATAAAAGCTGATTCAACATGCTTGCACATAATAAAATCCATTTACTTGTTCTTAGATCTAAATGTTGAAGTGTGTGTGTGTGTGTGTGCGTGTGTATGTGTGTGTCCTTTGTCCTTGGAAGGTTGAAAACACAATCCTACCAGCCATGGTTCTTGACTGAATCCTTCAAGATATGCTCTGCGGGTGATTTTGAACGAGAAAATTGCTGAAAGCCATACATGTAGGCCTACAGGGTACGTAGAAAGGAAAATGGGAAGATTGCACGTATTATTAAAAACCTAAATGTCTTCTGACGAAGTATTTTTCTGCAGTTTGCCTAATACTGTGCACTATATTGAGTGAAATGGCGTATATGCAAAACCTAACAAAATCAAAGAGTGTGGCCTTACAAAGCGTCGTTAAAGATGGTCTGAAAAAGGCGCCGAGACTCTGCTTGTACAATTTAGACGTACCATAGCGCCCAACGCATGGGTGAATACATAGGGGTACATCTAAACATCTAAACCCTCAACACCATTTTGGATGTATGCTTACTTAAAATGCGTTTTGAAAGGACAAAACAGGCAGTTTACATCTTATAATTTGACATCTACATGTATTGTTCGCCAGCATTTACCTACTTTCCCATTTACAGACTGCATATTGTGTAAAAAATATACTGTTATTTTGGATTAAAATCCAAAAGACCTCCTTTCGTCGCATTCAAAATTCAGACCTAGAATAATTCGTTTTTTAAACGTATTGTCATATTTCATTTGCCATGTAAAGCTTAACAATGATAAAATTCCAGCTTCTTAGAATGCGACGGCTGGTCGGTTATGTGAGGCTGCGAACAACTATCACAATAGTGTGTTGACTGTACCTATTTCGTTAGGGTCCTTGTCTCGAGCAGTCATAGCAGATGACAATCAAATGAGGATTTTCAATTTAAATATTACGCATTTGACTGCAGTTCATATGTACCATTAGAAAAAACACAGAGCAAGGAAAACGATGAAGTAAAGAAAAGCATAGATGTGCGCTGTTTAAAAAGGTGTGCATCATAGGCACAAACTATACTATTAAAACAAGATTTTGATCATGTGATGGAAATTCATCTGTGCTGAAGCGTAAAGTCATTATAAAGATTAAACTGTCTGGTTTCCACGCAATGAGTAAGGCTTCAGAAAATGTAAAAAAAAAAAAAAAAAANTTGTGAAAAGGTATCAGCATACTCAGACTGGATATATCTGGATATAACTAGTAGAGTTGCCAATCCCGTCAGGCCCACCCTCGGCTGTCCCCGATTGTAGTATTATGTAAATTCTAACCTTTTGTTGATGTTACAAAACGTGGAGTTCTTTCATTCCTTTCGTCGTAGATAAAATCAATCGTAAGTTGCGAAAGAGAAGTCATAATTAAAAACAAAGTACTGGGGTATCTCCAAAGCAATAAATTTGAATAATCAATGTCCAACCTTATAAGGTTGGCAGAAAATGAAAATGAAACCTAATGACGATTCAAAATTGCTGAAAAATCGGCTTCATATATTGTCATTAGGCTCTTTTGATCTCTCCCAACAAACACAGTCACCATACCTGAGAGTCATCCCCAGGTCCAAGCGTTATATACCCTTCTTGCCAGAAGAATTTATTCATGTGTAGGGCAACTGAAGTAGAAACGTATTACTTAGTTTTATTAATTTTGTTTTTGAGCCGGACGCAAATATATAATACAAGTATAGCGTAAAATAAAAATAACATTTAATATCTGACACATGATAGTGGTTCTTTATACACCAGCAGTAATCACACCCATGTAACTACACCATCAAATATGCAATTTATGCGACAAAATAAATTCTTGTTACGTACGTACTCAATGCATGCAAGGTATTGATGACAGGTACTTTACCAAGTACATGTAGGCCTACGTGACGCTTTACACTATAATTGACTGCATTTCTGGTGTCTTCTTCTGTCCTTAAGATTTATATTTCATGATTGGTAACAGGAATGGAAGTCCGGGCTCCCATATGAGTAGTACAGGTTAGGGTTATTTGGAATATTGGGGGTTAATGTATGGGACGAATATCACCTGTACAAAGTAATGGGAAGCAGACTACGGTTCCTAGCGGACTTTCATCCCTGTTACACCGGTATCATTACAATTGTCATAAGAAAAATCATTATTTTCGTTTCAAATCGTTTCATCTTGGTGTAGAAAAGAGTAAAAATGTGAGGATTGTATCACTGCCTGGTCATGCCCTAGCTTGTCAGTGCCATGATCAGTTAAGCCCCCTTTACACGGAACGGCGTCCTTTCTGCGTCCTGTAGTACGGCCCCTTTTGAGAGTAAAAAAAATAATAATAAAAAAATAAAAAAAAAACTTAACGCAACTGGCCGATCATTGAGCATTTACTCTGCAATCATTTGAAGCGATGCTTGTGCCTCCTTTCTAAGACCACAGCGATGCCAGTTTTCATGGTCGCATGAAGGACGCAGAAAGGATGCCGTCCAGTGTAAAGGGGGTTTTAATAATGGTCAGTATTGTTGGGCAACTTTGTGATTTTTATTATTATTTATTTATTTTACACGTAATACTTTCGAACAAAGGTCCTGTTATTTGGACGGTTTGAAAAAGAGAGTCGCAAAAACCGACGACCTAAATTATGATCATTTACAGAAAACAGTTATACTACATAATGTAGACTCTGCAAGGGAAATTTTAACATAAAAAGGAAAAATTAAAAAATAAAACAATTGATGAATATATTAACCATCTCCCAAAAGACGGCGCTCCAAGGTCTTTATACGTCACTGACGGTTTAATATTAATTTTTTTTTACTTTTCTATATCCACCCGTATCCTTGTTCCTTCTTATTTACACGCAATGACATCATTTGTGTGCATTTTGACTTTTGATTTTCATTTGAGAGCTTATAAATTTTTCATCTGTTTACGTGCATATGATATGATCATTCATAAAAGCTGATTCAACATGCTTGCACATAATAAAATCCATTTACTTGTTCTTAGATCTAAATGTTGAAGTGTGTGTGTGTGTGTGTGTGTGTGTGTGTGCGTGTGTATGTGTGTGTCCTTTGTCCTTGGAAGGTTGAAAACACAATCCTACCAGCCATGGTTCTTGACTGAATCCTTCAAGATATGCTCTGCGGGTGATTTTGAACGAGAAAATTGCTGAAAGCCATACATGTAGGCCTACAGGGTACGTAGAAAGGAAAATGGGAAGATTGCACGTATTATTAAAAACCTAAATGTCTTCTGACGAAGTATTTTACTGCAGTTTGCCTAATACTGTGCACTATATTGAGTGAAATGGCGTATATGCAAAACCTAACAAAATCAAAGAGTGTGGCCTTACAAAGCGTCGTTAAAGATGGTCTGAAAAAGGCGCCGAGACTCTGCTTGTACAATTTAGACGTACCATAGCGCCCAACGCATGGGTGAATACATAGGGGTACATCAAAACATCTAAACCCTCAACACCATCTTGGATGTATGCTTACTTAAAATGCGTTTTGAAAGGACAAAACAGGCAGTTTACATCTTATAATTTGACATCTACATGTATTGTTCGCCAACATTTACCTACTTTCCCATTTACAGACTGCATATTGTGTAAAAAATATACTGTTATTTTGGATTAAAATCCAAAAGACCTCCTTTCGTCGCATTCAAAATTCAGACCTAGAATAATTCGTTATTTAAACGTATTGTCATATTTCATTTGCCATGTAAAGCTTAACAATGATAAAATTCCAGCTTCTTAGAATGCGACGGCTGGTCGGTTATGTGAGGCTGCGAACAACTATCACAATAGTGTGTTGACTGTACCTATTTCGTTAGGGTCCTTGTCTCGAGCAGTCATAGCAGATGACAATCAAATGAGGATTTTCAATTTAAATATTACCCATTTGACTGCAGTTCATATGTACCATTAGAAAAAACACAGAGCAAGGAAAACGATGAAGTAAAGAAAAGCATAGATGTGCGCTGTTTAAAAAGGTGTGCATCATAGGCACAAACTATACTATTAAAACAAGATTTTGATCATGTGATGGAAATTCATCTGTGCTGAAGCGTAAAGTCATTATAAAGATTAAACTGTCTGGTTTCCACGCAATGAGTAAGGCTTCAGAAAATGTAAAAAAAAAAAAAAAAAAACAGTATGACTTTGTTAAAAATTGTAGAATTTGCACTCAGTGCATGCTGTCAGTTTCATCCTTTTTAATCAACCGGAAAAAAGTATTCCAACGAGTTTTCAGATCATATTTAGTTTCGTTCACGTTATTTGGAACGATTGAATTTCATTGCCATTTCTCCTCCCCATTAGCCGCCATGTCTTCTAACTAATTCCGTCTGGCCAGGTTGTTTTACACTCAGTAGAAACATTTTAAACCAGGTATGCTTATGTGATATCATAGCAGTTAACCATACATTTCAATTAATATTGGGGGGGGGGGAGAAAAGAAAACGCACTCACGTTTTTAACATACTGGTAAATGCTGTCCTCGTGAATTTACAGCATTCAACACTGACAACCCACAGCATATATATATATATATATATATATATATATATATATATATATATATATATATATATATATATATAACGCAACCCATCCAGCATTCATATTGTCATGTTAAAACTAACTTTTTTCTTTATCTGTCTCCACTAGAAGAGAAATGGTGCAAGACAGAAGCGGACATTTTATATTAATCTGGGGACTAGTTTAGAAATTTTATATTTTTCAAATCTTTTAGATATGGGAAAGTGCAGCCTACTGTTTGTGGCTAAAAGTAAACCCGGCTTTGAGCCAATATCGATTATTGAGTACGTTTTAAAAACTTGGACTTTGCACTCGTTCTTTGTAAAGAGCAAAGAAAACGTTTACATTTTAATTTGAGGTATGATATAAAGAAAAAGCGCGTATCATCGATTATCGAGTACGTTTTAAAACTTGGACTTTGCACTCCTTCTTTGTAAAGAGCAAAGAAAACGTCCACCTTTCAATTTGGAGGTATGATATATAAAAAGTAGCGTGTATCGTTTAAAATAACATTTATATCTTTCAGTGTTAACTGCACCTGTCGACATCAAATACCGGTAACTGTGCCAGTATTTTTTTATTCGTGTCTACTGTAAAAATGGATCAACTGACCTAATTATAAAGCTAAATAAATTCATTTTCAGGTGCATATGTGCACCAGTCGGCTTACAAGTGAACCTGATCAATCTCAGGGCAAGGGTTTAGTGCACTGGGCTTAGTGACAACCCTCGTGTAACCCTAAAACGCCATTGTTTGCGTGCTGACATCTCAGTTCAACACAGCCGATAAACAACTCCATAGTTTCTTGTCCTAACTGAACCTGCCAAGCTATTTGTTTACAAACAGACGCTACATCGATTGCAACAATGATAAAAATCTATATCATGAAATTATGCGTCTATTATAACAAAACTAAAGGTACAATTTGGATTAATTAGATAAATAACGATCTGACTTTAAATATTTACTGCATATTAAGACTAAAAAAACTTCCATAATAAACCTATGTTTTTAAATATATAAATGGCTGTCTCATAAACAACCACTAGGACCCTATAAAACCTAAACACTAATCGATATACGTAATATATCTGTATATTAACAAAATAAGCCCCAAACAAAGGCTCTGGAAAAGTGGACTTTAACCTCAGATCACGTTTTGCAGCGATGTCAAAACCCTGATCAATGAAAATGACTTTCTTTTTCGAAGAAACCAATATCCACAACACCATAATGCTAACTTTAACTAAAACACACGTCTGATAAATTTGTAAACTGCGTACAAGTATAAAATCACGTATTCTTGGGATGATTCCATCTAGTGATGAGGACACGATGTAAACACAACCACATGGTCTCACCAGGCATAGCAAATTCATTCATTGAGCACGTGTACACATGGCCCTGAATACCACTATATCACATGCTCTCTAGACGCCGATTGGCTGAAGCGGATTGACCTCCGTTTTCTGATTGGTGAATCAAACCCCGCCCTCGCCCAAATTGTTGGTAATGAAAGTACGATGCAATAACAGAGACACAGACGACATAGACATCTGTATTTTGACCATCTTGTGAAACAGTGAGGATAACAAATTGTTAAAATGAGAGACGACGCTATGGATTGTGAACCGTCATCGCCTGTTTATATTCAACAGTTTTTTCCAGAAACGGTGAGTACTTATTTCGTTAATACTCGTTGCAGTCAATGGGCTTTGTTGTGATCTGTCATTTCCCAGTAGTGAGACAGCTACGGCGTGATGTTGGTTGCGTTTTTATTCTTATGTTGTCACATATTGGTATTACCAAATAGCTGTGTTGTGTTGGAGATATTTACTGTGATGTTTAGGGTGAAATAAGTTTAATACCGATTCCTTCATGTGTTTGCTTTATATAAGCGTTTGGTTTCTGTCAGTCATGACAATTGTGCGTGATCATTCATACCATTGCAAGTCAAGAACAGAAGTGTTAAAAAAATTATTTAGCTATAAAGTTGCCGTGTGATTTCATGTGAGAGCTTCATACCTGGTAATATAGTTCAATCACGTACCAGAATCGTGATAATCTGTACCATATGATCCTTAGAGGATCCCATTTCCGACTTATAGTAAATCTGACCTATTTCTATCCGCATGTAGGTTAGCGGTCAAAGGTCGCGATTTCATAACCATTTCTAAGCTTTTGTCTGTAACGCACAATGATAAGTCAAAAGTGAAATACGACGGGTGTAGTGTTTGTGTAACACTTGCGATAAGGATGGAAAGTATTTTGATACAGAGGTGGTTTACATTTATATTTGTAAAATATTATGCCAGTGGTTTGAAACGAACATTGCCTTCCTACTCACGGAGTGTTCACATGTGCATATAGTGACCTTCAAGGTTCAGACACACCCTCTACATTTAGCATGTGACTAATACACTGATAATAATGATTTCCGCATATATTACTGACTAGGCTGGAAGAAAGATTTGGGTTAGCTGCTCAAATGTTAAAATCACTGTATTTAACAAGATAGATGTTCTTTTAAGGAGTGCATACCATTTTTCAAGGTAGTTACATCTTAGAGCCCATTTTTTAAACAAAAAGCAGTCTTTCTGCCTGGTGATTTTTCTACCCAGGTATTTTTATTATCTCATCCCTGGCATTATTTTATCTTTCCTTATGCATTCCCTCAACCTGCACCAGTTCATAATTATGAAATAATAATTACAAAATAATGATAGATAGAAAGAAAGGAAAAAAAGTGAATTTTTTGCTAAAATAAGTAAATAGATGTCAAAGTAAACTGAAGTGGGTAAGCTATGGAAGTTGCTTAAGCAAGTTGTGACCCAATGTTTTCATCAACAAAGAAAATATGTAAAATATACAACCAGTATAAATATTTATGTCTGTTATTTAAGAATCATTATTTCTACAAATCTTATTAAAATTTTTAATTAAATAATATTTTCCAATTATAATAAATAAATAAAAAGAAAGACATCAAAGCAAACAGAAAGATAAACGGAATTTATTTAATCAGTCAGATTATTGGTCTAGTGTTTTAGTTTACAAATAAATAAAACTAAGTATATAATCAACTGGAATATTTCACTCCTTATTATTCTAGAATGAACGACCAAAGAGTACATGCAAGAAGGGGAAAGGACACTGCTTAGAATGTGAGGCTGCCTCCACTCTTCTTTCCATCAGTAAGGCCTCGACCAGATCTGGCCATGGCTGTAGCTCACCTGCCAGACCAGACACCCCAGTTTCTGAAGATGATGCTTCTAATCATAAACATTCAACAGAGGATAACAGTGCCCTTCTCAAGGAGTCCAAACTAGCACAGGTAAAATGCTTATTTAAATTTTTTCAAGATTTCAATATCACATTGTAGGAAAAAGATTTCTTTTGATGTTACAGCTAGAGTTAGGATAGGAAGTTTTGTCCAATTTATAATATCTGCCTTCTCACTTTGAATAATTATTCACAACAATGTTTTTTATTGTAATTTTCAGCTCCTGATGGGAAAACCCATTGTCACCACCACTTTACCATATGAGACACCTCCCCGTACTCCAACAGACATTGACTCTCCGTTTGAACTGGACTCAGAAAAGAGATGTTGTAGCAGTGGCCAGCCTGTATCGGTCATTGTTTCTACCAAGAGTTTGAAGGCACAGGCAACATCAGATGCTGCTAATCATAACACAGCAACTGGTGGTCAGCGGCACTGTAAACAGACCACCACCGACAACAACCCAATGCCATCTTTGCCATCCCAAAGTTTACTGACTCAGGCACTCTGTACTCCACCCAATAATCCACTGATAAATATGCCACCAAATAGGTCACCAGTGACCAGTTCTACTGCATTCCCGGTTTCTGTTATGGCACCACCCTTTTCCGTTCCAATCTTCTCTGTTGCTAAACCACAGATTATCCAAGTTTTTCTGATGAACAGTAACAATAATGGTGGCAACTTAAAGACATTGGATGAAAAATCAGCTGTTCTGAAAAAGACTGGAGATAAGCTCTGCCCCATTGCTCCTGCCCCAGTGGCTTGTAACACAGCACAAGGGGTTGCAGATATGCTGAAAATTGAAGAACTGAAAAGACGAAGGAGCCATGTTTGCCATTATGAAAACTGTGGAAAGACTTACTTCAAAAGCTCACACTTGAAAGCACACCTTAGAACGCACACAGGTTAGTTGAGTCCTGGTGAATTTTTTTTACATTTACATTGGCAGTTCCAGAATATCTAGATCTGCTAATAATTTACATTTTTTTATGAAACTGATTTAAAAAGGTGGTGCTTGACAAAGGAAAGATGCCCAGTAAATTTATGTATGTTTATTATTAGAAACAAAATTCATTGCAGAGAACAGGCACTGTAATTCATATCCTCAGCATCCTTTATAAGCAAAATCTCCCAACCCGACAAGCCATGATATAGAACAAATACATAACAAAGTGTACTTAGTGACTACAGCGTGGTTGAGAGCTGATAATGAAGGTCACAAGACAAATTGTATGGGTCGTCAACTGACCCCGAAGCACCGTCTTATTACTAGACATTGCTTCACGTGAGTCACGAATGTATGTTGTACCTTATGTACGTGCCATGCTGTGAAACTTAAATCTCCACTTTGTCTCTTTTCAGGTGAGAAACCATTCGTGTGCACGTGGGAAGGGTGTGATAAGAGATTTGCTCGTTCTGATGAACTTTCCCGCCACAAAAGAACGCATACCGGAGAGAAGAAATTCGCCTGCCCCGTTTGTGATAGAAAATTCATGCGCAGCGACCATTTGACGAAGCACATGAAGAGACACGTTACAAATAAACACACGCCACAACAGCTCACGCGACCGCCTGTCGAGTCGTCCATGGACTGCAACAGCAATGACAGTCACATGTCGGATGTTTCTCAGTGCAGTACAGATAAACCAGCTCCGACGCCGATTTCCCTGAGTGTCTACGTACCTGTTGCATCACAAGGCTCTGCGTGAACAACCTCCTGATGGTTAGGCCGCTGAATCTAGAGGTTTATGCACTTTTTTGACTGAAGATAAGGGTCCTAGTCACGAGGCAAATCAAAATAACCAGAGCGTCCTGCTTGGTTTGGAGTTAGATGTTTCAAAAACAAGCACGTATTGATCATGTTGATCTGACGTAGGCCAGCAGTTGCTGATGTTTGTTTGTTTGTTGTTTTTTTTCATATTTATTACGTTGAACTGTAGTGAATCAGATCGAACCGAAAAACTGATTCCGTTAGTTTTAAGCGACTCGAATAAGAAGAGCGATTATGATAAAGTATATTTTGTTACGTTGTCAATGGTGCTTGTTGTATTTTGATATAATCATTTGTAAATACACATCCTTACTTTTTGTAGTCTTTCAGTACTATAGCATCTTTACATTTAATTTATTATGAATTTGTACTATTTATTGTTTTGTACGTGATCAGTATAGAAAACCCAAAGTTTTAATAAAATTCTATTTAAAACAAAATAGTTACGGGAGTTGAATTTTCTTTCTAGCCATAAAATACCTCCGTTAAAACACGAGAAAGACATAATTGACGTCTTGCTTCGGTGTCTTAATTAATAAAAAAAGTATTTGCTTGCCAGGAGTAATGAAAAAGGAAAGGCATTTGGAGTTGAAAAAAAACCGCGTATTCTAATCAATGCCGTACGAACTCAACGACCTTTGCCGTATCTACTGTTAAGAGGGAAGGAAAGTCCATCGCGTGATTCGAAGAATTTATACAGGGTGGTTAACACAGTTCACACTTATTTATAGGGAAAGTGAAGCCAGACACGAAGCTTATCGTGGCTAATATGGATGCACACCTCTTCATCTACTGTTTTTATCCTACAGCGACTAGGATGACTAATTAGCTTGAACAGCATGACCGCATTCTGGCCCGTGAAACGATATCGTCTCGTTTTTAATTAGAATATCATGCACACAGGTTTGTATGGATGTGCCACAAACAGTACCCGGAATGTATTAATTTGTGAAATTATTTGGCTAATGTCGGTTTAAGAGTGGAATGTACAGGTACAATCGTGTTAATACAAAATTTCAGAGTAATGGGACAGAACCTCTTTTCATATATTTTTAATAATTGTGGACATTTTTAGCCGAGGCTGACTGTCTATTTATGTAATTCTCTGTTTAATGTTACATAGAATGGAATATGAATATGAAAACCAGCGGCCAAGTTTGGACATTTGTCCGCTAATATTAGTGTAATATGATATATCACTATGTTATATAAAAACCCTTTGCCATTTGAGTCTCAACCGAACTATATTTTACATCGGCCTTGTGACGTTTACTTTCATTCCATACTGAAAGGCCTAGAGGGCTTATTTGAATAGCGTTAGTACCAACCTATTTCGTAACCCTTTACAAAACACATAAATATTTGAGAAGAAATAAATTGTAAAATGGCTTGAACATGAAACTTTAGGTTCATTACTTTTATGCTTTGTTCATAGATTCTCTTCATGAAACTCAAGTGTCGTCATAAAAAAAACTCATTCTCTTCATCCATGGCTATGGATTAGTCCTAGTCTTAGTGCGTTTTTCTGTTGTTTATTACATAACTAAGGATAGATATAGGCACTAAAACAACTATATAATCAACGCTGATAATTTTTAGACACCGGACATCTGTAGTGTGATCTAGGAATGATAACCTATATTTCGGGCCCTAGGTGTGATGCATGGACAGTTGTTCTACCACATTTCGTGCGTTAGATGATCCCCGTTTCTCATTGCTTCTCTGTCGTAGCTACCACACTTTTTTCTGTTTCTTATCACAAGGAGAAAATGGCAACAAGTGTGGGTTGGAACAAGGGACACATACCTCCTTAGTTTACCCGCTACCAAGGCCACTGTTTGATTATTTTCTAGATACAACTGTATGTCTCTGGCTAATTCATGGCATGCTTTCTACTGTAATAGAGAATTTAAGCATGGAATTAATCTCATCACTCTGGTCTCTAGTATTGAGTACCCTTGGTTGTGGTAATACATGTAGAATTTCAAATTGCACATCATTCATTAATTATAATAACATATGGTCTCATTTTGTTTCCATGTGGAACTATTTCCAAATTACGCCTTGGACTGTGGGGTAATAATAAACATTTTACAAGAATGGGATGGAATTTCAAAGTCTGTGACAAGTTTGGTGTCCCCGATCGCTTTGATTTCAAATTTCTCCCACACCTCTTTGACCACATAATGTTTATCTTGTTCTGTATTTACGTACTCTTCAAGATTAAATGAAAATCCGTGATCCACGACATCCCTGTTTACTATTAGAACCACTACCCTGTTTTTGCTAAGTGGCCCACTGTAGACTTGAAAGTCAGCGACTCCACCGACCTTCAAACATTTGTCGTTAAACGTCTTTAAATTATAGATCACATAAGAGGATGTGTTCGATGCAAATTTTTCAAAATAAATCTTGTCTTTGTATGTCGGTTTCTTGGGGCACTTTTTCACGGTTGCTTGTCCATACATTTCCCAACTTTTAAGTTCAAGACAATAAGTTTTTCCACTTGCAATACTGAAATATATTTTGTTTCTTTCTTCATCGACTGTCCACGCCTGGTGGAGATCTGAACGGCCGCACTTCTCTACCGTGACCAACTTACTTGTTACATTCGCTGTTAGACACAAGTCAAGTTTCACATGTTTGAGCCATCTTTTTTCCTTGCTGTAACTCCACTGCTGGTTTGTATCATTCCTCGTACATCTTAAATCAGAAACGGCTAAGTGTTCAGCGTGTCCGAGTTTTTCTTCTCTCACCAATGAAACGGGTTTACCCAGTGGGTCTTGGTTTATGTTTATAACTTCTGGGTTCGTAAGAATATTTTTCACGCTGTCTTTCATCATTTTCGGGTCATTACCAAGAATTAGAGGCGACTTCAATGCGCTCCATAAGGAAAAGTGGACCTTATATTCTTCCGTTGTCATCCCTCCATTCCCAACTTCAAGCATATCTAAGTCGTGCCAGAGTCCCGAATGATCGTACAAGTTTTTGCTAAAAGCCCAGTCAACTAAGGACATCATATTGATCCAGTTGTCTTTTATATCATAATTAACGCGGCGCATATTCGAAAACCCAGAAGCAAGTTCCAAATTTTCAGCAGATCCTTTCACACTGTGGATCATCTGACGACCCGTGTTTTTGATCGCAGCGTACATGGTTTGGTAACTTTTTTCAATATTTTCACCTGGATGGATGTAGCAGTCATCATTTTTCACAAAATCAACTTTCCAGTCTGCATATGTCTGTGCATCAATTTCCTATAAGAGAGGATAAAGTAATATTATGCCACCTTTATGGACCGATTAGTTTCACATATCAATTTCATTGTGGATCTATTGATAGTTTTTAGGTTTCACGCTGATGAACTTTGCGAAATTGCTGTTTACTAAGTCCTAACAATGTGTAAGGGGAGGGTGCCAATATTTTCTCAAGTCCTGCTTTTTTTATGAAAGCCTGCCGGCCCATATAATAACTAAAACACGTTACAATCATTTTGAATGATGCTATTTTTATCACCTACTCAAATATTGCAAGGAATTCGAATGCACTACAGAGTTTACGCAGTCTTATTAACGAAATTATGAGGCATTTTTAGATTAGAGCAGGATGCAGTCATCGTCACCGAGCACAAAAATAGTTGAAAGCCCAAAGAAATTTCTTCAAGTGTCTTCCTTACACACTCCTTTTATCAGTACAAAGGATATTTTATATATGTATATTTTAATCTATTTATCAATTAGCAATTTACCTATTACTATTAAATATAGCCTACCTCGTACCCATAGCTACCTGGTCTTCTTCCACACGTTAAAGTGCCCACACAGGTATAAAGTCCAAACTTCAGACCTTTAGAGTGAACATATTCTGCCAGTGTCTTGATTCCGTTGGGAAACTTTGTTTGGTCCTCTAGGATAACCCCATTTTCATTCCGAGTCAGCTGCCAACAATCTGAGAGGACATAAAAATAGTACAGAAAGTAAGTGATGAGTCTACACACAGATGGAAGACATATTTACTTATTTCGACAGCTTTTTGAGACCTTATTTTAAAATGTAAAATTCCAGAATACATTGAAAAATGAGAAGAAGATAAATCTATTCGAAATTTTTAAAACATATTCAGGTATGGACTATTTTATAGCACCTTTCTTTTTTTGCAAAGTCACCAAATAACGGTAATAGAACTCTCACTTACCATCCAAATTTACATACTTGTAGCCAGCTTTGGCCAAGCCACTGGAGATTAACAGGTCCACTGTTTCTTTAACCACACTTTCATTTAAACCATCACATTGAAAGTGATTCCATGAATTCCACCCCATGGGAGGTGTAGACCCCTCTACTGGATTGTAATTTGGTTGGTCTATGGTTATTTTTTCAAAGTAGAGTTTCGCAATAATCGCAATGATAACAGCAGTCAGGATGAGAATTATGCCACATTTTTTCATACAAGTAGGCTTCAGTCCTTTTGTCATTCGACGTGCCATTTCACCTCTGTAGGTCAGTTTTGATGGATATTTTATCCCTGTGCTCTGGGTGTCTCTGAACGAGGCAGAAAAAATAAGAATAAGTAATAAGCAGAATAAGATAATCATCTAAAATACAGTACATGTATTCCACTCTGGATCAGTTTTTGCTTACATACATATCGCTTTTTAAGTAGATGTTTTGATAGCTGTTAACATTCTTTCTAAATCTAGATAATGATGTAATCCAAGTTTGCGGAAGAGTAAAATTTTAGGGATCATTCACATATCCCTATCGTTCTAGCAGGATCGATCTATCTCTAGAGGGGATTCTCGTTAAATTGCTCTCAGTTTAAGCGTGCACGACATTTAATTACTCCCCAGCACCTTCAGTGGGCGTGACAGACATTTAAGCCGAATGCCCTCGGAGTTAGATCGATCTTGTTAGTACGATAGATGGAAACCTGTTCTTAGGGACCATTCCCACAGATATTTGAATCGATCTATCTCCCTGGGGAGTCTCACTAAATTGCTATCAACTAGTAAATCTGTTAGGGGTAATTATCTTTACCCCTTAGCTGATTCGGTAGGCGTGACAGACATTTAAGCCGGTTATGTTGATAGCAATTTAGTGAGACTTCCCAGGGAGTTAGACGGATCGATCTAGGCATGGGAACCCAGTCTTAGTAATTTCGTTCATTATAAGTTTATGTCATGTAGGCATAGGAGGATCTACATTTATATAAGAGCAGGTAGAGACGCGTGAATATGCGGTTATGGTAATATGGCATTTGTCAGGATTCGTCTCGTAGTCCGAAAGTTCACGGATCCGAAATATCGTAACAATTTCATCTATTTTAANTGCAGTGCGTAAGATGAGTCAAGTAGTGCATTACAAATTTGTTAATCCAAGGCAGAATGGCGCGAAAAAGACAGACATAACCAGGCAGATCATAGCGCCAAACGGAACGGTCCCCACAGTTTTATAGAGTTATGCCCAGACTGATGTACCTACACAGAGGTCATCCCCAATGTATCAAAATCTTACCTACAGGGTACAGGACCCACTGTCTTTCGGGATACGCTGCTGCAACTAAACAAGAAACACTTAGTCCGTTCAGAACGAGGGATAAATTGCCACTAAAATGCGTTTTTCAAAGCCCTTAGCGAACACCATACTGGTTTAAGCAGGTAAGAACACCAAACGACCTCCGAGGTACCCACTGTATACAGCAAAACATCGTCGTCTGTTTCTCTAATGAATTGGGGGCCATGACGGTTTCTGGGTAGAACACTGAAACTGCGTGGCTTTCTTTATTGAGGTCAGATTTCACCTGTACCGCCCAATTAGTCAAAACAGAGTTTACAGATATCCAGAAGAGGCCTACGACGAAGCATATGCCGGGTCTAAAGTGACAAGGGTGATTGACAGCGTCAGTATTTGGAGTAGATTCCACATTGGTGCCAAAACACCAATGGTAGTCATCGACGAAAACCTGAACCAGATGAAGTAAAGGAATAATCTCGGAACCACTTGACTATCATTTGATAGGGGGCATATTAAGAACACTTCTAGGTTGCACGATGAGGTTGCAGGTTCACACAGAGCACTTTTAATGGCAGATAACTTACAGAACCAAGGGAATGAGCAGCTACCCTGGTCATCAAAATCATCACATTTGAACCACATAGACAATATTTCGGTAGACCATTACTCGCCAATCAACTGCCTACATGTCCTACAACAAAACTGGCCCAGATTGGACAATTTTAGACCGATGCCTAGGATGCTATTCCAGATTGAACTCTAAAAACCTACCCCCAAGGAATGCCTTGCCGCTTGAGAGCGCTGGCAACAGCCACGAAGAGGCCAGGCGTAATGCGACCATTACTGTGACTAGCAACTGACATGAGGGTCTTTTGTGGAGCGTATTACCCTTTTACAGACGATAATTTGGAAAATATGGAGATCCAAAATATCTCTTTTAATGAGAATCGTATGCCATAGAATAGGCAATGTGTTTTTGTTTGCTTCTCTGGCGAATTCCATTAATGAACTGATGTCACAATGACATCAAAGAGATAAGTTAAAGTTATTAAAACACGATTTAAATCATTATTTTCATTTATCAGTCAACAAAATAGGAAAAAAATGATAAAAAATTATTTCGAAAAAAATATTCCATATTAAATGTCAAGTCTGTATAAGAGCAGGTAGAGACGCGTGAATATGCGGTTATGGTAATATGGCATTTGTCAGGATTCGTCTCGTAGTCCGAAAGTTCACGGGTCCGAAATATCGTAACAATATCATCTTTTTTAAATAAAAGGGTTCGTTGGTCTGATGGCTCCATATATAGTGAACATTCGGACCAATGAACCGTCCGATTACTATCATGAACCCACGTCCTAATATATACAGATGCACTGTTTAACCTACTTTCAACTTATTAGGACAACGAGTATATACATGTACAACTCCTCTTAGGGTAAGTACCAGTACAAGGCAATACCTTTAGAATGCATGAACAGAAAACACGTTAGTCACCTTTCTTCAGTTGGAAGTGGTATATAATCTGCAATGCCTTGTCCTTGGTGTCGTTTTTTCTCCATTAATTGTGCAGAAAGCAAGTGTGCTAGTTCCGTTTAGTTTTACTGCCGTTATCTATCACGTAGATCGCCATTCACGAAACTGAGGCAACGCAGGTAAAATGCATAGTTAATCTGGTATACAAATAGGTCAGAGACATGTTTTCCATGTGATATACGAATTTGTTAGTTGACAACAAAAGCAAGGTCACCTTAATCAGCAGCACAGGTAATTCAAGTACTGTTACCAGACTGTAATAACTTAAGGTTGGTCATATATATTGGGCGTATGAATGTGCTTATTTGTTGGCATCATACAAAACATACTGTACATTTAAACATGTAGATAATATGTTTATTTGTCACCGATTAATGCAAACAGTAATACATCGGTGCGTGCAAACACACACACACACACACACACACACACACACACACACACACACACAGTCACGGGGGCTTTGTCTGGAAAGCCCGGCGATTCATAAGAATACCTTTGGGCATTTGGAAAAAATCAATACCATCACAGTATGTCACAGAAGAAACTCATCAGCTGTGTGTGTCATCACAGTATGTAAACTACGTTGACTGCAGTTGTACTGTTGCTTTAACGTTTACAATCAAGTAAAACATATCAACGTCATAAGGTAGTTGATGTTTGGAACCAATAATCTCAGTGCTTCATAAGTTGTGACATCAGAGATGANATTTTTTTTTTTTAGAGAAGAAAATTTGGCCTATTTTCTTTTTTAACATTGTACATATACACTGTTTTTTTTTTATTTTGCAGAAGTCTTGCAGGAAATCATCTTATCGCCTTAGAGAAGAGTATATTTGATAAACTGCCGCATTTAGTCACCTTGTAAGTAATCTGATCAGAATGATGAGAACATGATTGTTATCAATTTTTACAGAAACATGTTTCAGAATAAAAGATAAAAATATTATTTTTGTGGAACATGTACGATATTGTTAACAAGCACGGCTTTTCGTCGACATTTAAAAACTATTTAAAAATACACATCCTAATTTAGTTTAAGCACTTGTTTTGTATGATATATTTATATATATGTTATCTTTGCATCAGGTATCTGAATAAAAACAATATTTTCAACATAAACAAGGAGACAGCAGCTATACTCACCAAGTTGATGGCAGTGTAAGTAACTTGCCGAGTACACATGCACTACAATATGCCTGACCATGCATTCCTTATCATAATTGAAATTTTACAATTTAGAATTATTATGACAATTGACTTCATACATGTGTATGATATTAAATATTTTAAAAAGCAACTACAATGTTTTAAAATGTAATCTTTTCATTTGGATATCGGTTATTTTCGTGACAGACAATTTAGATATGCACTGCTGTTCTGAGTTTTACTTCATTGGGTTTCGATATAACTGAAAGTAAAAATCGTCACTGAAGTTAAAACTGCTCCACGCTATCTTCAATCTTTTTCAGAGACCTCAGCAACAACCCTTATAATTGCTCCTGTACTCCAGAAACAAAGTTTATGATCAATTGGATTCAGAAAGTGAAAGGGCCAAAACCAAAGGGCATAAACTGGGTAGCTTTTGTCAATGACCATGTTACAACATGCGCGTCTCCAAACTTTTTGAAGGGAAAAAGACTAGATTCATTAACCGTGAACGACGTGTGTCCAGATACCACGTAGATGATGAACGTTAAATTTCGTACGAACGCCTGGAAATTTAAATGTATTGGTGGCATAAACGTTTGTGATATAATATCCAAGAACAAAACTGATGCAAATCACTACGATAAATTTGAAAAAACTTTGGTGAAAGTTTTCATTACGTCGTGTTTTACTATAAACTCAATTATACAATTATCTTCTTGTTATCGAGCATCCCGGTGATTGTTTTTACTTGCATTGTTTATTGTTATGAAATAAAAACATTAGACCTAATGCTTTTTAGGTATATTGGCCTAATTGAACTTAACGAACTCTAAAAATGGATAAGTCAACGATGAAATATTGTTAAGTTAGAAAATTTCTGTAATCGAAAAGGCGAGGACACAAAAAAGCGAAAAATAGGTCTAGTAACGAAATAAAGACCACGTAGATTTATAGAGAAAAAAGTTCAGATATAAAGAAATTTTAATGGAAAACAAGAAGGAAAGGTCGACGTTATGAATGATTCACAACAGACACATAAAGGATTAAACTGATTTCTGATAGAAATTTCTTCATAATATTATGAGAAATAGATCTAATTCATTGTTTAATCCTTTATATGAGTAGTTGACGTCTCTTTCGATTGTTGCACACATCGCGTTGAGCACGAGTTTGTGACGTTATAATAAAGTAACTACAGACAACCGTTGCTTTGCATCATTCGGTTGATTACTAGTAGATACAAAGTCTATATATTATTGATATCATTATAGCGAAAAAAAGAGTACCAACTACGTTTTAGGCTGCGATATTTATAAAGTCATGTCGTCACGGGTGAGTGTGATAAGGGGCAACTGTAACATAGGCGTGACTGAATGTTAAGCTATTGGGCCACTCACTATATAATGCTGCTGTAATTATCTATTTTATCAAATATAGGCCTAAACTCTAATACTTTTGAATCTTTTGCGTTAAAATGGTAGGCTTAATGCGTAAGAATAGGCCAACTCTTTCCCGCATAATCTTTTAAAATGTATTATGAACACAAAGACAATGGCCTTTTGACCTTTCTCAAAAAAGTTCAATTATTAGAGACAGCATAACGTATTACAGCCTAAGGCTTATGTGAAGGTTCTACTTTTTGTACAGTAGGCCTATAAGACGAGGGTTGAACTGTAAGAAATATGCCTCTGTGTGTGACTGCTTTAAGGATATTGTCTCAAAACTCTCCAAAACTCCTTATTTACTGCTTTATATGCATTTTTTGCCAATCTTGTTTAGGGATGAAATTACACCCCATACCGATTGCTATCTCCCCTCAAAAAAAGTTGTTAAATTGACGTTGTCTATGCTTATACATTGCAAAGAGAAATATAAACGTCGATATTTTATATTTTCAAGGGTTTTTATTGTTTAAAATCAGCACACAGATAGATGCATTATTGAATAATTAGATGCAGGAAAAACCTCATTTTCGGTATCTGGATGATAATAAAGTGTAACAATACTCTTAAGCCATTTAGAGCTAAACCCCTGTAGGCCTACGTGTTGTAGTTCCCTTAGATATCAGAATGGACTTCATTTTTGTAGATCTAACTTACGTCTACATTAGAAATATTTGCAATTATTCCTTTTTATTTATTTATTTATTTTTATTTATTTTTTATTTTTTGTAAAATTAAATAGTGTTGTTGACACCATGTTTTTTTTTTTTTTTTTGCTCACGTCGCGTTAGGCACGAGTTTGTGACGTCATATAAACCATTATCAAATAGCCATAGGCAACCGTTGCTCCAAATCATTTGATTGATTTTGAAGTAGACTCTACAGTTTATTTATTGTTTAAATATTACGAAAACAGAGAATTGTTTAACTATAAGTTAAGAAGTTATGTCGTCACGGGTAAGTATGCTTGGGTAAAAAACTTTCTACAGTGGTATTGGTCCTTGTAACTTGTGCGGATCGTTGTTTGGCTGTCGATATTTTTTCATTTTACACTGATTTAAACACTGACCTATTCAAACAACTTATATTATGAATCTACTTCAAGTAAGATGTTTACTTAAATTATTATGCGCCAACTTTTAAAATAACATTTTTACATTTTTTTTTTTTTTTTTTTTACTTTGACGAGAAACCTCCAGCGCGTAGTTTAATAAACACCTTACGAGTTACTTTGGTTTTCTTTTACAGTCACAGCGTCCCTCGGTATTGAGAGGGCTCAGAAACATTCTGACAATAGTGGCACACTTCTTCATATGTGGCAGTGGTATGTACTCTATTTGAAACTTTATACAATGAGATTATATCTCGCTATAATAAAAAGGGTTATACGTGCAAAAAAAATATTGACTTTTATCTCGTCCAAAGTCAAATGCACTCTTTGTAGCAAATAACGGTGCCGTTAAATGCATTACTTTGAAAAGTGAAAGCCTCTGAGAAAATGGGAATACCACAAAAGACGGAATTAAGCGGCAGCCACATGTTTGCGTTAAGTGATGATATTAAGCAGTATTAGGGTAGAGATGAGGGTGATGCAAGTGGTGGTGTACGTTAGTGGGAGCCTAGTGGTAGTGTAGGAGGCATCAAGTCCAGAATAGTGCTTAAAGTGATCGGTAATGGGGATAAAAAGTTAAAAATGATATTTAATTATCTATTTCTTTCATTAGCTGAGCACTCTAGCAGAAATGATAGAGAACGGAAAGGCAGAAAACGCCAAGGTAGCAAAAGGAAGGATGCAGATAAGAAGGTAATTGTCTTTTATTTTTTAAATTTTTTGCTTATTTTCCCTATTATCTTTTCATTTTGCTAGAACTTTTGACATTTTCATCTTTTCTTTTTCGTTTTTACTGAAATACTAGCTTTTCCTTTCTTTTCTTTTCTGTTTTTATTTCTTTACTTTTTTCTTGCTTTCTTGTCTCTTTCTTTCTTTCTTTTTAATTTTAATTTTATTTTTGCTACTAGCATTTTCATTCTGCACAGAATATTAATGGCGGTGGATACTCAGTGAAATCAGGTGCGTTGGTCAGTACTTAATGCCAAACATACAAGCACTTGCGATCACCAACCTGCGTTCACCGCTCGATGCCCAAAACGCTTTGAATATCGGTCCTATACGCGTTGTATATACTTTTAAAGGTCTTTTGTACTATCAGTTTTTATTTTTCCGTAACTGTTTATTTATCTATTTATATGTAAGTGGTAATTCGTATCATTATAGATATAAATAACCATAAATGTTAATAAATATACTTTCATAAAGATTTTGTATCTATCTTTACGTGGAGTTCTTATACACCATATTGATAATGTTCTTTCAGACCTGTTAGGTCGCATCAAAGGGGTCCCCATTACAGACGAGAGATCCTCCCCAGAGCTCTTCGTTCAAGACACCCCTCGTTGCATCCCGGTATCTTCCATTGATTTCCTGGAAAAGAGAGGCGTTTTAATCGGGACAGGGTCCTTTGGAAAGGTATTCTTGGCCAAAGACACTGTCAGTGATACATACGTTGCCGTGAAAACTTTCAAAACAGTAGAAGACTTTGACAGCGCTGTCAGAGAAACGCGCCTTATGGACGCACTCAGCGGAACTGACATTGTTCCCGAGTTCTTTGGACTCGTAGACCTGAGGAACACTATGTTTCTCCGGTACGGCATTAGAAAAGGATTTTACCATGAATTTGGCATCGTTTCAAAATTCATCGGAGATCCAGATCAAGTGAGAACCTTTACTCTTGATAAGGCAATCTCAACTCTTCCAGGTGCGCCGTTCGTGGCGATGAACCTGAAGCTTATGATTCAGTGGGCAAAGCTGATGCTGAAACTCGCCGTAAAACTAGCGCGCCTCCACGCTCTGGGTATCATCTTTAATGACTTGCACCCCAGAAACGTAGTACTTACAGGACCTGTTGAAAACGACCCGGACGTTTACATCATTGACCTGGGGAAAGCCACATTCAGTGCTTCTTCAGAGTATGGATACACGCACAGGGCGGATGCCGGGCACGTGGACCGGTTAATGCGACAGTTTCCTCACCATGCCCCCGAGGTGTGGAAGGGGCAGTACGCAACCACACAGTCCGATGTGTACAGTTTTGGCGTGATTCTGGGGAAGGCTCGCCTGGGCCAGTTGATGGGCCTCACCAGTTTGGTGGCCGAGTGCGTTTTACTGTGTCCGACTGAGCGCCCCACCATGGCCAGAGTGATAGAGAGACTCAGTGGACGATTAAGTGTCCTGGAGAAATTAAAGGACATGGATGAGCTGATACGCTCTTCTCGCAACTCTGTCCCTATGCACTCTGGCAACTCTGTCAAATCCTACAGCCTAATAACTGTGTAAACTTTCTATCGGTCAGTGGAAGACAAAAGGACGTGAATTTTCTTAAACGATTTTAATTGAGAACCATCACTGTGGTAGCAGGGGAAAAGAATAACGTTTTGATATATCACGAATTATCAATAGTCCCTGCTTTTATAGTTAAATATTTATTTAGAGCGTCATGTTCAATCTAATAGAAATAAACTTTATATAAATTGATTTTAAAAAAACAAGAGTGTAAAAACATCTGCTTTAAGGGTGATAGCTGCCTAATCCAAGTTAACTTATTAAATTTTTTTAATATGAGTAGCCGGAATAGAAAGGAAATTGTCTTTGTGCGATATTTTGCACCTGTCTGTTTTGCCTTATTACATTGTAAGTTATAATAATGGTTCCTGGACAACTTTTGTACATAGTTATGTGTATATTTACTGATTTTGGTGTGTATCATTTCACGAGTTCATAAGTTTTCTACAAAGTACCATTTAGCAAATCTATCTTAAGTCGTGAAACCTGTAAATAGTCATTATGATCATTTTTAATGAAATAAAACAAATTTGTCGTATGATTACAGACCTGTAATTCACTTGCAGTATACATTACTGGAATGTTAACTTTCACATAAATTAAAAATAAAACGAACCGTCATCGTTCATGATGTAATTTCACGTTTCGCACACTGCGGCAACTTGTGAGTTCCCATTTGCAGTAAGGTCATAAAATGCGAGTGATGACCATCTGATTTTAGGCTTATGCGGGAAATTTCAAATTGGTGACGTGGCAATGAATTAATTTTCTTTATGTCTGCACTAGGGCAAAATACTAAAAAATGTTTGTAGCTAAAGACAGACCTACTGTTCTAAATTTTGCTTAGAATATTTTATGTACATCATAAAAATTTAATTAAACCATTGTAATGGCCTAACTGGCTTTCGATTAAGCTGAAATTAACAATTATATAATTTTATCTGTCATCACGTTGTGGCAATATAAAAGTAAAATGTTTGTACTTCTGTTATATAGAAAATCGTTTGTTTGGTCACGTTAAAGGATTAATTGATAAACTGATTAGACCTTACCATCTGATCCATTAACATAACTATTAATCATAAAGGGAGTACCAGTTTGAATCAAAAACAGAATTTCTATCTGAGCTGGTTCTGTCGAATGATACTGGGGAACCAAGCAATTTCATGTCATTCAATTTTAGTTTCTACAAAAATCTTTATGTATGAACTTATTTAGACAATATTGTGCATGTGTGACGAAAAGGTTTTTTTAAATNGTTTTTTTTTTTTTTGTCGCCCTCTCGCACCGATTTTGGGGTACCCAGAGGATGTCATCCATAAAAATAAAAAAGTGTGGCCTTACTTTGACGAGAAACCTCCAGCGCGTAGTTTAATAAACACCTTACGAGTTACTTTGGTTTTCTTTTACAGTCACAGCGTCCCTCGGTATTGAGAGGGCTCAGAAACATTCTGACAATAGTGGCACACTTCTTCATATGTGGCAGTGGTATGTACTCTATTTGAAACTTTATACAATTAGATTATATCTCGCTATAATAAAAAGGGTTATACGTGCAAAAAAATATTGACTTTTATCTCGTCCAAAGTCAAATGCACTCTTTGTAGCAAATAACGGTGCCGTTAAATGCATTACTTTGAAAAGTGAAAGCCTCTGAGAAAATGGGAATACCACAAAAGACGGAATTAAGCGGCAGCCACTTGCTTGCATTAAGTGATGATATTAAGCAGTATTAAGGTAGAGATGAGGGTGATGCAAGTGGTGGTGTACGTTAGTGGGAGCCTAGTGGTAGTGTAGGAGGCATCAAGTCCAGAATAGTGATCGGTAATGGGGATAAAAAGTTAAAAATGATATTTAATAATCTATTTCTTTCATTAGCTGAGCACTCTAGCAGAAATGATAGAGAACGGAAAGGCAGAAAACGCCAAGGTAGCAAAAGGAAGGATGCAGATAAGAAGGTAATTGTCTTTTATTTTTTAAATTATTTGCTTATTTTCCCTATTATCTTTTCATTTTGCTAGAACTTTTGACATTTTCATCTTTTCTTTTTCGTTTTAACTGAAATACTAGCTTTTCCTTTCTTTTCTTTTCTGTTTTTATTTCTTTACTTTTTTCTTGCTTTCTTGTCTCTTTCTTTCTTTCTTTTTAATTTTAATTTTATTTTTGCTACTAGCATTTTCATTCTGCACAGAATATTAATGGCGGTGGATACTCAGTGAAATCAGGTGCGTTGGTCAGTACTTAATGCCAAACATACAAGCACTTGCGATCACCAACCTGCGTTCACCGCTCGATGCCCAAAACGCTTTGAATATCGGTCCTATTCGCGTTGTATATACTTTTAAAGGTCTTTTGTACTATCAGTTTTTATTTTTCCGTAACTGTTTATTTATCTATTTATATGTAAGTGGTAATTCGTATCATTATAGATATAAATAACCATAAATGTTAATAAATATACTTTCATAAAGATTCTGTATCTATCTTTACGTGGAGTTCTTATACACCATATTGATAATGTTCTTTCAGACCTGTTAGGTCGCATCAAAGGGGTCCCCATTACAGACGAGAGATCCTCCCCAGAGCTCTTCGTTCAAGACACCCCTCGTTGCATCCCGGTATCTTCCATTGATTTCCTGGAAAAGAGAGGCGTTTTAATCGGGACAGGGTCCTTTGGAAAGGTATTCTTGGCCAAAGACACTGTCAGTGATACATACGTTGCCGTGAAAACTTTCAAAACAGTAGAAGACTTTGACAGCGCTGTCAGAGAAACGCGCCTTATGGACGCACTCAGCGGAACTGAAATTGTTCCCGAGTTCTTTGGACTCGTAGACCTGAGGAACACTATGTTTCTCCGGTACGGCATTAGAAAAGGATTTTACCATGAATTTGGCATCGTTTCAAAATTCATCGGAGATCCAGATCAAGTGAGAACCTTTACTCTTGATAAGGCAATCTCAACTCTTCCAGGTGCGCCGTTCGTGGCGATGAACCTGAAGCTTATGATTCAGTGGGCAAAGCTGATGCTGAAACTCGCCGTAAAACTAGCGCGCCTCCACGTTCTGGGTATCATCTTTAATGACTTGCACCCCAGAAACGTAGTACTTACAGGACCTGTTGAAAACGACCCGGACGTTTACATCATTGACCTGGGGAAAGCCACATTCAGTGCTTCTTCAGAGTATGGATACACGCACAGGGCGGATGCCGGGCACGTGGACCGGTTAATGCGACAGTTTCCTCACCATGCCCCCGAGGTGTGGAAGGGGCAGTACGCAACCACACAGTCCGATGTGTACAGTTTTGGCGTGATTCTGAGGAAGGCTCGCCTGGATCAGTTGATGGGCCTCACCAGTTTGGTGGCCGAGTGCGTTTTACTGTGTCCGACAGAGCGTCCCACTATGGCCAGAGTGATAGAGAGACTCAGTGGACGATTAAGTGTCCTTGAGAAATTAAAGGACATGGATGAGCTGATACGCTCTTCTCGCAACTCTGTCCCTATGAACTCTGGCAACTCTGTCAAATCCTACAGCCTAATAACTGTGTAAACTTTCTATCGGTCAGTGGAAGACAAAAGGACATGAATTTTCTTTAACGATTTTAAGAGAGAACCATCACTGATGTAGCAGGGGAAAAGAATAACGTTTTGATATACCACGAATTATCGATAGTCCCTGCATTTATAGTTAAATATTTGTTTAGAGTGTTATGTTCAATCTTATAGAAATAAATTTGATATAAATTGATTAAAAAAAAAAGAGTGTAAAAACATCTGCTTTAAAGGTGATAGCTGCCAAATCCAAGTTAACGTATTAAACTTCGTATATGAGTAGCCGGAATAGAAAGGAGATGGTCTTATTGCGATATTTTACACCTGTCTGTTTTGACTTATTACATAATAAGTTATAATAATGGTTCCTGGACAACTTTTGTACATAGTTATGTGTATATTTACTGATTTTGGTGTGTGTCATTTCACGAGTTTATAAGTTTTCTACAAAGTATCATTTAGCAAATTTATCTAAAGTCGTGAAACCCACATGCATAGTCATTATGATCATTTTTAATGAAATAAAACAAATTTGTCGTATGATTACAGACCTGTAATTCACTTGCAGTATACATTACTGGAATGTTAACTTTCACATAAATTAAAAATAGAACGAACCGTCATCGCTCATGATGTAATTTCACGTTTCGCACACTGCAGCAACTTGTGAGTTCCCATTTGCAGTAAGGTCATGAAATGCGAGTGATGACCATCTGATTTTAGTCTTATGCGGGAAATTTCAAATTGGTGACGTGGCAATGAATTAATTTTCTTTATGTCTGCACTAGGGCAAAATACTAAAAAATGATTGTAGCTAAAGATAGGCCTACTGTTCTAAATTTTGCTTAGAATATTTTATGTACATCATAAAAATTTAATTAAACCATTGTAATGGCCTAACTGGCTTTCGATTAAGCTGAAATTAACAATTATATAATTTTATCTGTCATCACGTTGTGGCAATATAAAAGTAAAATGTTTGTACCCGGTACTTCTGTTATATAGAAAATCGTTTGTTTGGTCACGTTAAAGGATTAATTGATAAACTGATTAGACCTTATCATCTGATCCATTAACATAACTATTAATCATAAAGGGAGTACCAGTTTGAATCAAAAACAGAATTTCTATCTGAGCTGGTTCTGTCGAATGATACTGGAGAACCAAGCAATTTCATGTCATTCAATTTTAGTTTCTACAAAAATCTATATGTATGAACTTATTTAGACAATATTGTGCATGTGAGACGAAAAGGTTTTTTAAAATGCAAAGCAGGCTTTAATTTCATTGGGTGAATTTTATTCTGGATAAAGATGTTCATGTGTTCGAAATTACCCCCACCACACCCTCCCCTACCCCAAAAAGGCTTGTCTTGGATAATCCCCATTCCATAGTAATACGCTTGCCAGTATTTCACATTTTCTAGTAAACGAAAGCAATTTAAATTTTAGGTCAGATTTTGCATATATGGTATGCAACCCATTGTAGCGAGGTCACTTTAAAAGTAGTGCATGATCGTGTGTCAACTCGGTCGGAGGCCTACCAAGAATATTAATGTAGGTCAGTTACGAATATAAACAAGGTACTTCACTGCCATCATACCTGACTACTAAATAATGTGCACAGCTTTCTCTGCTAATGACAATCATATGAAGTGATATTGATAGCGATATCGTTTACTGGAAAACAGACTTACCGCTGACTTTTGTCGAGTTTGGAAACATTTGGTGACAGTTCGATGGCGAATGGCGACTGCAATCTTTACAGCGGCAATATGAAGAGAAGAAGAGTGAGTGATGACTGTGCAATGACTACAGAAACTGGGATTGTTAGGAGAGGTGAGAAATGTTGTCGGCCTTACATTCTAAGTGAGGTATTTACCGTAGCTAAGGCCCCCAAGCAGTGTTTCAAACTATCGAGGCTATAATTATCCACGTCCAGGCAAATCTGTGTCTCCCATTGCACCTTGAAGTGTGTTTATTATCTCGTTTAAGATCCTTTATATAGGTTCATGCACCAGTTAGATATTAAAGCATTTGTCTTTCTATTCCAGCAATACAGAAAAGTGAGAAATGCCACATATATTGTAAACATGGGGAACACTAAACTAACACTCAAAATGGGAAGCATGCTTTGTTAAGAAATAGAAATCTGAAACATTAAATTATTAATTACATTTAAAAATGTATTTGTGTTATGTTGTATGTACTGTAGGTTTGATAGTAATATTGTAACAAAATAGACATAATACTAATAGAATCAGTTTTTCTACTTGGAAATGTTATAATATGATTCCTCCACTTGTAATAGGATCAGTTGGTCTTGTGTTTAGATTTTTCAACTCTTCGAAATGATTCTAAGGTTTAATTTTTTAAAAGAAATGTTTTAGCAGTTTTTTTTTTTTTTTATTCCAGGCTCACATTTCCTCACATTACACAGTAGCACAGCAGTATATCAGACAGAGGAATTCAAACCAAAAGGATCCACACTCTACATACCATTGTCAGAAGATGTGATGATCAACACAAGCAAAATTGATGAAATAACATTTTCTACTGGGAATTTTTTCATTGGCAACGAACAAGGTGCTTTTTTAAGGACAGAGCAAGGTGAGCAATGCACTAAAAAGTTACATTTGTTCTGTGATATTATGAGTTTACAAAAAAGTCATAGAAGGATCTGAATTTTTTGTATGTTTTCTTACCATATTTTTTCATAGTAAATAAGGTTCACAAAATTTTTCTCGAGAACAATTAACATTTTTTTTTCTTCTAGGTTGCGCTATCAATATGTGGAAGTTTGACAAAGTGTCGCGAAAACTTTTCGTATCAAGATCATTTCTTTTCACAAGTGAACAGGTATTTTAGACTAACCAACTGAGCCAATGTTAGCAGTAATGCAATATGGAGTATTAAAGCACATACTTGTACTACTCAGGAGATTATTCAAGAAAAGTAGTTGTATCATTTTTAAAGTTATATGCTTGTTAGTAAATGATGACAAAGTTTTAAAATTTCTCACCAAGGCCTCCTTCCCATATAATCATGTTGTACAAGCATTTCTGTCATACTTTTCTCATTTAAATATTACACACTTATTATGTTGCTGCCAATCATGTCTTGATCAAATGTCCAAAAACATTTTTAAAGCTTGCAAACAAACATCTATTTCTCCACATCAGTAACAGGAGCTTTTCCTGGAATTGGCTCCGAGGAAGCTACCTTCTCAAACTCTGTATTTCTGAGGCGTTAAGTGATCTCCTTGGTTGCATAATTTAATTTAAATTTCTTTTAAATTTAGACTGTTATAATTAATGAAAAGCCTTAAGTCATTGTGAAAATAGAATCCCCATTTTTGGCAAAAATGTAACTGACCTTCAAATACATTTGTACTTTCAGGTCTATGCTGAAGTAATAAGATCTTTACAAGAAATGTGATGTGGATTCCCGGTGTAAAAGATGGCCGTCTTGGTGCAATGATAAGATTTCAAATGTTTGACTGTTTCTTCATTTCAAACCATTAATTTGGCAATACTCATTCACAAAGAATGTATGCTTTTTTACTTTATTCCAGTAAAAAAAGTACTAGTATTCAATTATCACAATGATAATTTTTTGTAATGCTCAATTCACAATTCTGCCAACTTAATATTCCAATCTCTGAAATAAGTATTATCATATCATTTTGTACTTTACTGCTCTCACTTTGAATAAAAACCATTATTTTGCTACTGTAGCATTTAAAAATTATTTTCTTGTCCAGATTGCCAACATGATAAACTCATTTTTTATAAATATGCATAACGATGTTTGCCTAAAATGAATCTTAAGAAGCACAAATCTGGAGTATTATTCATACAATGTGTGATATTATCACAAAGAACATAGTGGTATAGACCCTTGAGGTCGGTGAGCCCAAGCACGATTCTTTTTCTCTTGTACTTTAACTTATGCACATCAATTTTAAACGAGATGTGGTCACATTCTTCAATGCTGCTTTCCTTAAAATCCCTTTCAATGGCCACTGAGCTTGGTTCCAGGGCACTCTTACAGAAATGACTCTTTTTACTTTCTTGAAAATCAAAGAACAGGCTTCATTTGGTCCAGCTAACTTTTGGAATATCAAAATGCTCAGTCAAATTGTCCAAGTGAGCGTTGAAATCCTATAAAAAATGCAGTTTAAGATACATTAAATGGTGTGTGAAAAATTGCAAAGGATGGCTAAATCATTAAATCCAACATATAGATGTATCAGTACATAAGTATACGTGACTATGTATGATTTAAGATGAGTGACAAAATACCTGTTAACAAAGCATGGCATGCACCTCAAATTCTAAGCAAACTGTTACTGCATCTGAGTATCAGATTAACAATTAAAAAGACAATACTTACCATTATTCTTTCTTTGTGTGATTTTGCTGCTTTATCAATGATTTTTTCTGCTTCCTAAAAATAAAATAGAAGTTTACCTGCTTTACTCAGAAAAATATATCCAAACAAATCGTATATTGGCCATTATAAGAAAACGTTAATGACTTTAATTAGTACTGAGATAGAAACTGATACCCTGTATTTATTAACTAAATACATATGTAAATATGCTATTCACTCTACATAAAAAGTTCTACGGGAGCCTTTTTAAAAAGAATACAATGGACACAAGGTGGAAAACTTATCAAGGCACAATTTCAAATCTACTCTGTGCCTCCCTTTTAATGGGAAATGAAATTGTATTGGCTTACTTGATCAGTTGAAACAAATTTCAGAAAGACCATATTCTCATTGTAATCTTGTCTGATAATGTGAGTTTGTATCAGCTTTAAACAAAATCTCTCTTTATCGCAAAGCAGTTTAATGTGGACTTTACTGTGTATCTCCAGTCCAGTCAATTCTAATAGTCTACTACATATGCATAAAACAAGGAACTCAATCCTATTTGCTATAAAAACGACATGCAGAAATACAACACACCCTCTTTTCTTTTGCTCTTTCAAAGGCCATTTCTGCCTTCGTCCTTTTATCAACTCTAAAATAAGTCTGTTGACTGCCCGAGCTGCTTTCTTGGGCCATTTGTTCTAAAATCTTCTTTGGGTCCACTTCTTTTTCTCTATCCTTGCTCTTCTTTTTCTTTTTCCTACAGTTAAAATCGATGGCAGTGAAAATAATATTAAATACAATATCAGACTGCGAGAACTGCTACAACAAGTAGGAAACGTTTATGATTGTCACCCTTATACAGAGGCAATGTGTGTCAAAAATCGTCAGGTAAATAAAAACGTACCATTACTGTGGATTATGTCGATAGGTTAACTTTTTTTTAATGAGAGGAATGTGATCGTTATGGACAGGAAACATAACACTCACGAATACCGATCACTAGCAATATGATGTTTATATTCTTACTTTTAGAATGTGTTATTCACTTAATAATAGCTTGGTGAATAATTAATACACTCCTACGTCGCTGTATCAATTACAGTGTTAAATATGACAGCTTACTTTTTGACCCCACCGTCGGAAACACCTTTTAGTTTAAGAGATCCTTTTGCTACATTTTCGTACTCGGACATGTTGCTTCTCGTTTATAATTTCACTTCTCGCGAGATTGGAAGGAGCAAAAATTATTTCATATTTCATTCGTGCTACGAGAAACATCTTTTTGTTAATAAAATCAAAATGATTGACAGTTTGAGACCACTGTTTTGTATTGCATCCAATAAGAGTTTTGAGGTATGTGTATTTTATTCTTATGTTTTTGTTAATCTTCTGCCATTATGGACAATGCCTCACAAAAACTTTGGCTCCCTATTTGTTTCTCAAATCTGATTGGTCGGCAATGTAAACTACTATTTCGCGTCGCTTGCATTGGACACAACACAAATCCAACTCCAATGATGTTTTGAAGAACAGCAGCAAACTTATCTAACAAAATGCCAAGGAAAGTGCTGAAATGTGTCGTAGAACTTACTTTACATGCGGTAAGTTTGGTAATTTATTTTCATTTATTTGATTATTACAAAGTCAGAAAATATCTTGCCCACACGAGTCAAGCAGCATTGCCGCAGAAATAAAATATTCGATACAGAAGAATACTACCTTCATCGTGTCACCAAGCAAAGTAAATGCTGATTTATTGCAATTACCATATCTGTTGATGTATCATTTTGTAGACACTCGAAATTTTGTTATTATGGACCTGAAACTACACCTGACTCGTAAAAATTGCATAAATTTATAATTCAACTACTACATGAACGAGTAGGCCGGTGTATTAATAAGCAGTGTTGTGTAATGTGATATGGCCTTGCCTTGGTAACATTGGATTAAACCGGAAAAATTAGGGCGTTTTTTGTAGGCTTATTAGAAATACAATACATGCTGAGATGTATAATTTCAGAATAATTGTGCATAGAAATTATGATTACTAATACTTCTCAATAAGAATTAAGTTAAGATGATGCATGATTGACAAAAAAAATCAGAATCATTTTGCACAGAAATGATGATTTTAAATACAATCAGGTAAAAGTTAAAATGATGCATGATTGACAAAAAAGGAGTATATATATACCCCCAGTATATACTGTATGTGTCATACTTAACATGTAAACCTATGTCTTTCACACACACATACACATCTTTTTCACACACACACACACACACATATATGCATGTGCACAAACAAATAAGTGTTTAACAACAACCGAAGCTAAAGTTTAAGCAATCTTAATCTTTCTGTAACAAATTGATAGCCATTAGTATGTGTACCTTTGCTCTGTTTTTCAAGGTTACATGTCCAGGTACGTGGCTGCCATATCGTGATGATGTCTACATCTCTGTGTGCATGCTGGGCCAGCACAGAAGAAGTAGGCTGGTCGGCCCAGTGTTCCCTCTGCTTTTCCACGATAAACTACGTTTTGAGAAGGTAAATTTATATGAAAATACATGTGATAAGTATCTATATTTTTACTGCTGTGTTGGATTGTTTGAATATCGACTACATGCATGGTATATATACACTGTGCATAGGTTCAATTCTTTTGTAGTACATCTTTTACTGTATATCAGAAAATTTTGGCTTGTGATAGAACAATAGTTACAGCTAAAGTCAGTGCAAATGAAATATTACATTAAATATGTTGGTTATTTTGCTTTTGTACATTAATTAGTTGAATACCATTTAGAGATAGTTTGTGCAGTGTTTAACTTTACATTTCAGGTGTTCTTTTATGCCAGAGATCCTTCACAAGTTGCAGAGCTGATGGAAGGTATATTATATGAACTTACTGCAAGTCTGTTAGGCAATCTTTCCTGCTTGTCCAAAGTGCAGAGTTCCTGTAGTGTTTGCTTAAATTCCAGATGCATCTTTTCATTACAAATTTATAGTTTGCCAGGTATATTTGACAACAAATGATTTTCTGCTACCACAGTCTGTATGGCAATAATAAATAAAAAATTGTGAAACAAAATTCGTTTTAATTTTTGTCAACCACTTATATAGCCTGTTTATTGATTCATTTTTCATTTTTATTTTGCAGATGAACACGTGCTATTTGAGCTCATCCAATTAACAGATTTAGAACAAGGAGGAACCTTGCTAGCTTCATATGAAAACAATACTAGAGATTTTCTGTATCCATCTCCATCACTGGCCCCCACCTATGGTACTCAGGACAGAGAGGTGCTCATGGAGAGAACACTGGAGTTTCCCGTAAGTATTAATGTCCAAAGAAACAGGGCATAAGGCCTGTGCAAATTTCTTACCCAAAAAGGTTTAACCCCATAAATCATCTTGACCAGATATAATCAACCAGCATCTTAAATTCAATTTTTATGTTACGTTTTCTCTTTGAAAACTCCATGCATCATGTACATGATATGTGCTGAAATAACTCTCATTCTTTTTCTTTGTTTTCCAAATTCATTTCTAATAGAAAATAATTAATATTGAAACTTGCATTAAAATTGTTTGGCTAAAAAATTAGTTGTAGTTTTCAATAACCCACAAAAAGTACTTCTCACTTTAAAAGGTAGTTTAAAAAAACACCTAAGATGTCTTATCTTAAATCATATGGAAATGCTCATTGTAGATTCAGTTTGCTTTTTTTCTGATTCTGCTGACTTAGTTTACTGGTGCAATTTATGATTAGTTGAACCCTTTAGTTTGTTTGTACAGTGGTAGCTTTATAATATCAAAGAGTAAGATATTGAGAAGGATTGATTGGAAGAAATGACCTTGACTCATGAAAAATACATTTATAATTCACATCCAGGTGCCTACCCTAAGCTTTATTTGAAAACTTGCAATTTGGGGGGGGGGGTTGGAATATGAAATATGTATCTTTTGGTCAAAAAGTGTATCCCCAACAGCCTTTTTATTAAGAGGTTTGTTGTTCTGTTTTTTTAATGATTATGATATTTAGTCAGGGGCGGATCCAAAGCTATTTTCTGACAGCCTCCAAAATTGTCTTGTTGATCCATCCTCCATTTTTGACTGTCTTCCGACAGAAAAATTAAACACTCGTCAATGTAAACTTGAAAATCTGACCGTCTTCCTGAAGACCCACAAGATGGCCTCAATCCGCCCCTGATAGTGACATTGTATGCAACTGAAATTCATTCAATGTTTGCATTTTGCCAGGGAATCTCACCAAAGATTGAGTTTTCTACAAAAACCACCATTAAAGAAACCAGGTATCCATATGCAGAGGATGCAGATACTGCAGGCAGTACAGAGGTGTGTATATTGTACTTAAAATGAAAATAGAAGAAAAGTCTGAGTAATTTCAAATTTCAATTCAATCATATTCAAATATTGTAGTCAGCAGTTTACAAAATTATTCAGTATATAACTTTGACCATCTTCTGACACTGAAGGTTATTCTGTCTAGTGATTTTTATGGGACTATTATCCATTTTACTTAACTGATATTGTATATAGGTGACAGGTATATAGAGAGATAGAGTACAGAGTGATTTATTATTTGTGTTACTTTTAGTTTTTGTTATTGTAGATATTGTGGTAATGGGCAATTTGATGTATAGCTTGAGGTGGGCAATGTATGTCATTTTTCTCTTTGTCACATGCTAAGAAAATCGGTCACATGCACATTAAGTGTTCATGATTTTCCTATATAGATTGGCATCTGTTCCTAAAATATGCTACATTAATATAAGATTTTTAAAAAAGCATGTAGCTCACAAACCTCCTTGGTGTTGTGTTAGCTATTGAAAAAAGTTATTGTGATGTCAAGTATTTAATATTAAAAAAATAGTTTTGCTTTTATCGTGTTTGTTGATGTTTCTCTGTGATGATAGAAGAACCACTATACATGGGTAGGTAGAAAAAGTAGTTTATATGTTAGGGAAACTAATAGGTCAAAAGATCCAGACGGTACAGCACATATCATCATAGTTAGTACAGTTTTACTGGTCATATGCAGGACATTGCTGGTATTTAGTAGCTACAGTTGAAAAAAATTGATAAAATTAGGGAAAGGTAATTAAAAGTAAAAAGTTAAATAAGGTAAGGCAAAATTAGATAAATGAAATTTTGAATATGATGAAAGTAAAGTGGAAAAGGCAATTTTCTGCTTATATAATATATATTTATGTGTCCAGTAAACATGGGTCGGAAAGAATTTTACATGTGTCACATTTTATTTTATACTACAAAATTAATGCTCTCTTTTAAACTATAATTAATCAAACATTATATATATATATACACACATTGAAATTTGGATCATGCTCTTCTAAGACTTACAGTATATGAAACAGAATGCTACAGCTTTATAGAAAGTAAGAATTTTTTATGTTTTCAGGCATTGTTCAAAATAGTAATAATAATTGTAATGATATTGTGTGAATACATTGAACTGACTGCAAAACTGAGTTGAGATAAAGATTAAGGCCTATTATACCATCAAGTGCAACATTGCAAATGAACCCAATTTAAAATTGCATGAATTTGTTCCAACATCATATAAACTGGTGATTGCATGTGGTAATTATAAACAAAGTTAATACATGACGCAATATGACATCCTCACCGTCAGATTGCATATTTACAGCTGTATTTAGAATATAATGATAATTTCAATTTTTAAATACTTGAACCATATCATAATGAGCATTAAATAATGAATATGAACAAAACTCTTCGATTGTCATATCAGAAATGAATGCTGTGAAAAATTAAAATAACAAAACCTTATATCCCTTAGTAAAGACAAAACTTAAGCATTCGTTTTATATGCTTTGGAATGTTTTCTACTTGCACCTGCTATTTGTAAAAATATACTCATGGTAAATGCAATATCTAAATGTATTGTTCTGAGTATAAGAACACAAAAGAAGTGTTTCAAAGATAAAAGGTTTTTAAAAACTCCTGACAATAACAAGTGTCATTCATAGAGTTTGTTTTCTCAGCTATTTCAATTTGAGCATGCTCAGAGTTGCAGACAGAAAGAGATTATTTATTTTGCCCTTTACAAAAACAGTTGTCACTGACAACATTGAAACTTAATAAGTAGGTGCCGCTTATCAAGAGGTATTGTTCAAGTAAAATATTTGTTTTACCATAAAGCCACTGTAAAAACAAATGACCACCTTCATTTGAAAGCATCAATATCTGGTGCTTTAAAACTCTTTTCAGTTCCTCTTAACCAGGTCACACTAAGCCCTTCTCTTTATGCATGACTTAAACTTGGTATTAAATCACAAAGAAGGTATTTTCTTAATAACCTGTAGAGTATGATTAATTATGTATTAGCTCAATAAAGTGTTATACGATTTAGATCAACATAAATCAGCCAATAACATTTCAGGCGTCTGCCTCAGCAGCGTCCCTTTAAGAGCAAGCCGATATTGATCAGAGTTGTATTTTTTCTGCAACCTGTCCTTTCAGGGTGACTTTGTATTTCAGTAGTGGGTATTGTTTTGAGCATGGAGGTTCACTGGAATGTTTGAGGACCACATAATACTATCAGTTTTATTTCATGGACTCAGCAACTTTTGGATTTATAGAACTGTAGACATACATCATACTTCAAGCAAGTATGTGACAAAATAGATCTCACAAAGACATCGCTAAATGTACCTGGCTTAGATGCCTCCGTAAAATTAGGACATTTGCAAAACAACCTGCTTAGGTGCAATTAAAATTCATGGAAATTTGCACAGAGAATTGCTAATACAAAAATGGATAATAATTCACATTAATCAAGAACGAGTGGATGTATCATGTTTTCCTAGTCTGGAATCTATAGACTGGGTGTGAATTATTGTTGCCAGGGATGGAATTTTTGTCCTCATTACTGATCATACTGCAGCACAGAAATTTAAACAGATTTTATATCTAATTGAACTGAATTGAATTGAAGGTGGAAAATGAAATTATAAACTTTGGGCTCTTTTTCAAAGGAGAAGGAGAATAAATATATAGATCTGTGTTATAGCAGGCCATTATAACTGTGTTGTCATTGTGATTGTGCCTTTGTCTTGGAGAATGTACAGTATGATGTATGATGATGACAGGGCATACTTTACTTGGGAGGACATGAGAAGAGTCCAGGAGTGGCTGGATAGAAATTTTGTAAGGGTCTTGATGTGAACAACTTAATTATAAGGAATATTAGGATAAAAAGGGTATTTTTATTGATTTATTGAAAGGGAAATTCATGTAAATATTCAAAGGTGAAACTAAGATATGAATGGCATTTTTACAAAAACATTTGAAAAAAAAGGAAATATGAAATTTTATGGATTATTTTGATGAGAAGTTTGATGAATATGTGTTCTTCTGTGCATTATTTAGCATAAATGAGACTTTCCTCTCTCTCTCTCTTTTGATAATTTTGTTGATCTTGATATGTTTTGCTTTGTTTTAGGAAGATGTGATGGTACCTAGAAGAACACCAGGTTCGGGGAGAAAATCAAGGTCTAGGACAAGGTATTTGAAGCTGAACATATGTGGTTTGAATGATTGGGTCACATGGTTATTGATATTCATTTAAATAATGATTTCTGTAGATCTCTGCAGTTAATATGTTTTTCTTCACATTGGTCTGTAGTTTTTATTCTGTTGAATCAATCCCTACCTTCCTACACATACTTCTTCCTTGATAAATTTTAATTTTACAAAAACAGCTTTTTTAGACTCTTTGCTTTCTTTCTGACTTAAGTTGAAACTTGTTTCACTTTGTTTATTTCCTATATCCATTTTGCATGTGCTTATCTGATACCAGTGATAATAGTTTCCGCTTTCATTTCCATAACTATTCTTTTACTTCTGCAGTGTTGTTTTCTATGTAGGACCCTTTTTTTCCTTGCTTTCTGTTCTTCTAGGACCCCATCCCGTCTTAAAGAGTATGAGGAGGAGGAGCGTGGCTATGAGCAGCATACCATAGCCTCAATTTCTCGTTCCAGATCTCCCTCTCCCAGCATGAGACAAAGACTGGAAGAACTCAGTCTTGGGGAGTCCCTTTCAGATTCAAAACCTCCCTTTGTTGTGAGAAAGGTAGAGTCATTTTACTTAAATCAATGTACAATATTTGATTTGAGATCTGTCATAGATGATTTTCTGTTGATTATTCTATTAACACACATTTTACAGTTTATGTAATCTATTTTCTAACCAGCAATAAGGTGATTTTTTTTNTGGCAATATGATGTTTCTATTCTTACTTTTAGAATGTGTTATTCACTTTCGCATGAGAAGTAGCGAACTTGAGAGAAAATAATAACTTGGTGAATAATTAATACACTCCTACGTCGCTGTATCAATTACAGTGTTAAATATGACAACTTACTTTTTGACCCCACCGTCGGAAACACCTTTTAGTTTAAGAGATCCTTTTGCTACATTTTCGTACTCGGACATGTTGCTTCTCGTTTATAATTTCACTTCTCGCGAGATTGGAAGGAGCAAAAATTATTTCATATTTCATTCGTGCTACGAGAAACATTTTTTTGTTAATAAAATCAAAATGATTGACAGTTTGAGACCACTGTTTTGTATTGCATCCAATAAGAGTTTTGAGTATGTGCATTTTATTCTTATGTTTTCGTTAATCTTCTGCCACTATGGACAATGCCTCACAAAAACTTTGGCTCCCTATTTGTTTCTCAAATCTGATTGGTCGGCAATGTAAACTACTATTTCGCGTCGCTTGCATTGGACACAACACAAATCCAACTCCAATGATGTTTTGAAGAACAGCAGCAAACTTATCTCACAAAATGCCAAGGAAAGTGCTGAAATGTGTCGTAGAACTTACTTTACATGCGGTAAGTTTGGTAATTTATTTTCATTTATTTGATTATTACAAAATCAGAAAATATCTTGCCCGCACGAGTCAAGCAGCATTGCCGCAGAAATAAAATATTCGATACAGAAGAATACTACCTTCATCGTGTCACCAAGCAAAGTAAATGCTGATTTATTGCAATTGCTATATCTGTTGATGTATCATTTTTGTAGACACTCGAAATTTTGTTATTATGGACCTAAAACTACACCTGACTCGTAAAAATTGCATAAATTTATAATTCAACTACTACATGAACGAGTAGTGTTGTGTAATGTGATATGGCCTTGCCTTGGTAACATTGGATTAAACCGGACAAATTAGGGCGTTTTTTGTAGGCTTATTAGAAATACAATACATGCTGAGATGTATAATTTCAGAATAATTTTGCATAGAAATTATGATTACTAATACTTCTCAATAACAATTAAGTTAAGATGATGCATGATTGACAAAAAAAAAATCAGAATCATTTTGCACAGAAATGATGATTTTAAATACAATCAGGTAAAAGTTAAAATGATGCATGATTGACAAAAAAAGGAGTATATATACATACCCCCAGTATATACTGTATATGTCATACTTTACATGTAGTACCTGTCTACATGTAAACCTATTTCTTTCACACACACATATGCATACACATCTTTTTCACACACACACACACACACACACACACACACATATGCACACATATGCACAAACAAATAAGTGTTTAACAACAACCGAAGCTTAGGTTTAAGCAATCTTAATCTTTCTGTGACAAATTGATAGCCATTAGTATGTTTACCTTGGCTCTGTTTTTCAAGGTTACATGTCCAGGTACGTGGCTGCCATATCGTGATGATGTCTACATCTCTGTGTGCATGCTGGGCCAGCACAGAAGAAGTAGGCTGGTCGGCCCAGTGTTCCCTCTGCTTTTCCACGATAAACTACGTTTTGAGAAGGTAAATTTATATGAAAATACATGTGATAAGTATCTATATTTTTACTGCTGTGTTGGATTGTTTGAATATCGACTACATGCATGGTATATATACACTGTGCATAGGTTCAATTCTTTTGTAGTACATCTTTTACTGTATATCAGAAAATTTTGGCTTGTGATAGAACAATAGTTATAGCTAAAGTCAGTGCAAATGAAATATTACATTAAATATGTTGGTTATTTTGCTTTTGTACATTAATTAGTTGAATACCATTTAGAGATAGTTTGTGCAGTGTTTAACTTTACATTTCAGGTGTTCTTTTATGCCAGAGATCCTTCACAAGTTGCAGAGCTGATGGAAGGTATATTATATGAACTTACTGAAAGTCTGTTAGGCAATCTTTCCTGCTTGTCCAAAGTGCATAGTTCCTGTAGTGTTTGCTTAAATTCCAGATGCATCTTTTCATTACAAAATTTATAGTTTGCCAGGTATATTTGACAACAAATGATTTTCTGCTACCACAGTCTGTATGGCAATAATAAAAAAAAATTGTGAAACAAAATTCGTTTTAATTTTTGTCAACCACTTATATAGCCTGTTTATTGATTCATTTTTCATTTTTATTTTGCAGATGAACACGTGCTATTTGAGCTCATCCAATTAACAGATTTAGAACAAGGAGGAACCTTGCTAGCTTCATATGAAAACAATACTAGAGATTTTCTGTATCCATCTCCATCACTGGCCCCCACCTATGGTACTCAGGACAGAGAGGTGCTCATGGAGAGAACACTGGAGTTTCCCGTACGTGTTAATGTCCAAAGAAACAGGGCCTAAGGCCTGTGAAAATTTCTTACCCTGAAAGGTTTAACCCTATAAATCATTTTGACCAGATATAAACAACCAGCATCTTAAACTCAATTTTTATGTTACGTTTTCTCTTTGAAAACTCCATGCATCATGTACATGATATGTGCTGAAATAACTCTCATCCTTTTTCTTTGTTTTTCCAAATTCATTTCTAATAGAAAATAATTAATATTGAATCTTGCATTAAAATTGTTTGGCTAAAAAATTAGTTGTAGTTTTCAATAACCTACAAAAAGTACTTCTCACTTTAAAAGGTAGTTTAAAAACCACCTAAGATGTCTTATCATAAATCATATAGAAATGCTCATTGTATATTCAGTTTGCTTTTTTTCTGATTCTACTGACTTAGTTTACTGGTGCAAATTATGATTAGTTGAACCCTTTAGTTTGTTTGTACAGTAGTTAGCTTTATAATATCAAAGAGTAGGATATTGAGAAGGATTGATTGGAAGAGATGACCTTGACTCATGAAAAATACATTTATAATTCACATCCAGGTGCCCACCCTAAGCTTTATTTGAAAACTTGCAATTTGGGGGGGTTTGGAATATGAAATATGTATCTTTTGGTCAAAAAGTGTATCCCCAACAGCCTTTTAATTAAGAGGTTTGTTGTTCTGTTTTTTTTAATGATTATGATATTTAGTCAGGGGCGGATCCAAAGCTATTTTCTGACAGCCTCCGAAATTGTCTTGTTGATCCATCCTCCATTTTTGATCGTCTTCCAACAGAAAAAATTAAACCCTCATCAATGTAAACTTGAAAATCTGACCGTCTTCCTGAAGACCAACAAGATGGCCTCAATTCACTCCTGATGGGGACATTGTATACAACTGGAATTAATTTGATGTTTGCATTTTGCCAGGGAATCTCACCAAAGATTGAGTTTTCTACAAAGACCACCATTAAAGAAACCAGGTATCCATATGCAGAGGATGCAGATACTGCAGGCAGTACAGAGGTGTGTATATTGTACTTAAAATGAAAATAGATGAAAAGTAATTTCAAATTATTTTCAGTTCGATCATATTCAAATATTGTAGTCAGCAGTTTACATAATTATTCAGTATATAACTTTGACCATGTTCTGACACTGAAGGTTATTCTGTCTAGTGATTTTTTATGGGACTATTATCCATTTTACTTAACTGATATTGTATATAGGTGACAGGTATATAGAGAGATAGAGTACAGAGTGATTTATTTTTTGTATTACTTTTAGCCTTTGTTATTGTAGATATTGTGGTGATGTGCAATTTGATGTATAGCTTGAGGTGGGCAATGTATGTCATTTTTCTCTTTGTCACATGCTAAGAAAATCAGTCACATGCACATTAAGTGTTCATGATTTTCCTATATAGATTGGCATCTTTTCCTAAAATATGCTCCATTATAAGATTTTTAAAAAAACATGTAGCTCAAAAACCTCCTGGTGTTGTGTTAGCTATTGAAAAAAGTTATTGTGATGTCAAGTATTTAATAATGAAAAAATAGTTTTGCTTTTTATCATGCTTGTTGATGTTTCTCTGTGATGATAGAAGAACCACTATACATGGGTAGGTAGAAAAAGTAGTTTATATGTAAGGGAAACTAATAGGTCAAAAGATCCAGACGGTACAGAATGTATCATCATAGTTAGTACAGTTTTACTGGTCAAATGCAGGACATTGCTGGTATTTAGTAGCTACAGTTGAAAAAAATTGATAAAATTAGGGAAAGGTAATTAAAAGTAAAAAGTTAAATAAGGTAAGGCAAAATTAGATAAATGAAATTTTGAATATGATGAAAGTAAAGTGGAAAAGGAAATTTTCTGCTTATATAATATATATTTATGTGTCCAGTAAACATGGGTCAGAAAGAATTTTACATGTGTCACATTTTATTATATACTACAAAATTGATGCTCTCTTTTAAACTGTAATTAATCAAACATTATATATATGTATACACATTGAAATTTGGATCATGCTCTTCTAAGACTTACAGTATATGAAACAGAATGCTACAGCTTTATAGAAAGTAAAAATTTTTTGTTTTATGTTTTCAGGCATTGTTCAAAATAGTAATAATAATTGTAATGATATTGTGGGAATACATTGAACTGACTGCAAAACTGAGTTGAGAATAAAGATTAAGGCCTATTATACCATCAAATGCAACATTGCAAATGAACCCAATTTAAAATTGCATGAATTGTTTCAACATCATATAAACTAGTGACTGCATGTGGTAATTATAAACAAAGTTAATTCATGATGCAATATGACATCCTCACCGTCAGATTGCATATTTACAGCTGTATTTAGAATATAATGATAATTTCAGTTTTTAAATACTTGAACCATATCATAATGAGCATTAAATACTGAATATGAACAAAACTCTTCGATTGTCATATCAGAAATGAATGCTGTGAAAAGTTGAAATAACAAAACCTTATATCCCTTAGTAAAGACAAAACTTAAGCATTTGTTTTATATGCTTTGGAATGTTTTCTACTTGCACCTGCTATTTTTAAAAATATACTCATGGTAAATGCAATATCTAAATGTTGTATAAGAACACAAAAGAAGTGTTTCAAAGATAAAAGGTTTTTAAAAATTCCTGACAATAACAAGTGTCATTCATAGAGTTTGTTTTCTCAGCTATTTCAATTTGAGCATGCTCAGAGTTGCAGACAGAAAGAGATTATTTATTTTGCCCTTTACAAAAACAGTTGTCACTGACAACATTGAAGCTTAATAAGTGGGTGCCGCTTATCAAGAGGTATTGTTCAAGTAAAATATTTGTTTTACCATAAAGCCACTGTAAAAAGAAATGACCACCTTCATTTGAAAGCATCAATATCTGGTGCTTTAAAACTCTTTTCAGTTCCTCTTAACCAGGTCACACTAAGCCCTTCTCTTTATGCATGACTTAAACTTGGTATTAAATCACAAAGAAGGTATTTTCTTAATAACCTGTAGAGTATGATTAATTATGTATTAGCTCAATAAAGTGTTATACGATTTAGATCAACATAAATCAGCCAATAACATTTCAGGCGTCTGCCTCAGCAGCGTCCCTTTAAGAGCAAGCCGATATTGATCAGAGTTGTATTTTTTCTGCAACCTGTCCTTTCAGGGTGACTTTGTATTTCAGTAGTGGGTATTGTTTTGAGCATGGAGGTTCACTGGAATGTTTGAGGACCACATAATACTATCAGTTTTATTTCGTGGACTCAGCAACTTTTGGATTTATAGAACTGTAGACATACATCATACTTCAAGCAAGTATGTGACAAAATAGATCTCACAAAGACATTGCTAAATGTACCTGGCTTAGATGCCTCAGTAAAATTAGGACATTGGCAAAACAACCTGCTTAGGAGCAATTAAAATTCATGGAAATTTGCACAGAGAATTGCTAATACAAAAATGGATAATAATTCACATTAATCAAGAACGAGTGGATGTATCATGTTTTCCTAGTCTGGAATCTATAGACTGGGTGTGAATTATTGTTGCCAGGGATGGAATCTGATTTTTGTCCTCATTACTGATCATACTGCAGCACAGAAGTTTAAACAGATTTTATATCTAATTGAACTGAATTGAATTGAAGGTGGAAAATGAAATTATAAACTTTTGGCTCTTTTTCAAAGGAGAAGGAGAATAAATATATAGATCTGTGTTATAGCAGGCCATTATAACTGTGTTGTCATTGTGATTGTGCCTTTGTCTTGGAGAATGTACAGTATGATGTATGATGATGACAGGGCATACTTTACTTGGGAGGACATGAGAAGAGTCCAGGAGTGGCTGGATAGAAATTTTGTAAGGGTCTTGATGTGAACAACTTAATTATAAGGAATATTAGGATAAAAAGGGTATTTTTATTGATTTATTGAAAGGGAAATTCATGTAAATATTCAAAGGTGAAACTAAGATATGAATGGCATTTTTACAAAAACATTTGAAAAAAAAGGAAATATGAAATTTTATGGATTATTTTGATGAGAAGTTTGATGAATATGTGTTCTTCTGTGCATTATTTAGCATAAATGAGACTTTCCTCTCTGTCTCTCTTTCGATAATTTTGTTGATCTTGATATGTTTTGCTTTGTTTTAGGAAGATGTGATGGTACCTAGAAGAACACCAGGTTCGGGGAGAAAATCAAGGTCTAGGACAAGGTATTTGAAGCTGAACATATGTGGTTTGAATGATTGGGTCACATGGTTATTGATATTCATTTAAATAATGATTTCTGTAGATCTCTGCAGTTAATATGTTTTTCTTCACATTGGTCTGTAGTTTTTATTCTGTTGAATCAATCCCTACCTTCCTACACATACTTCTTCCTTGATAAATTTTAATTTTACAAAAACAGCTTTTTTAGACTCTTTGCTTTCTTTCTGACTTAAGTTGAAACTTGTTTCACTTTGTTTATTTCCTATATCCATTTTGCATGTGCTTATCTGATACCAGTGATAATAGTTTCCGCTTTCATTTTCATAACTATTCTTTTACTTCTGCAGTGTTGTTTTCTATGTAGGACCCTTTTTTTCCTTGCTTTCTGTTCTTCTAGGACCCCATCCCGTCTTAAAGAGTATGAGGAGGAGGAGCGTGGCTATGAGCAGCATACCATAGCCTCAATTTCTCGTTCCAGATCTCCCTCTCCCAGCATGAGACAAAGACTGGAAGAACTCAGTCTTGGGGAGTCCCTCTCAGATTCAAAACCTCCCTTTGTTGTGAGAAAGGTAGCGTCATTTTACTTAAATCAATGTACAATATTTGATTTGAGATCTGTCATAGATGATTTTTTGTTGATTATTTTATTAACACACATTTTACAATTTATGTAATCTATTTTCTAACCAGCAATAAGGTGATTTTTTTAGATATTTTGATATACTTTTGTTTGATAGTTACTGTTACAAAATTCAAAGATATACAGGGCAACTTACTAGGTTTATCTTGAAAAAATGAATTGTTTTTTTAATGCTTTTATAATTATATTTATGTGTATATTTATATATTCAGAAAGACTCAGCAAGCTTGATTGGCAGAATTCCTGGCTCTCCTCCTGCTGAGAGAAAGAAGAAGAAGAAGAAAAAGGGAAATACACCAAAGAAGATAAGTCGTGGGATAAGGAGTAGATCCCTGTCACCTTCAAGGAAGACAACTGTCTCAGGTATAGTTGTATTTGTTGATTTTTTTCATTCCTGCCTAGTAATGTTTAATTTAAATTATAGTAACAGAATTGTCATCCTTTTTGGCATTTACTATTTTGTTTGCTGTATTGCATAAATCTATATTTAATATATATATATTCAAACCATGTACACTTTTAAGTAACTCTCAAGTAATTTTCTTGCATATGAAGGACGCTTATACTTAAAGCATTAATAGTCTGAATTGATATTGAATAATAGAAAATTATGTGGTGTATATGTGACTAAAATGTTCCACATTTTGCCAGTTTAACAGAGCTTGTTTTAATCCAGTATGTGCTAGTCTAGATTGCAGTATGTGTGCCAGTCTAGTTTATTACTGCGGCTAAAACTTTGTGCTGTTTCAGTAGATGAATGTCTGAACTCACTCTTGTAAATTTTTTATTGCCAAAAGACGACATTCAATAATGACTTAAAACCGTTTATTAATAAAGAAGTTTTTTTTGCTGTAACGAATTCACCATTTTGGAATAATTTCATGTGAAAAGTATACATGCTAGAATAAACCTAGCCTATTTTTCATTGATTTGAAAATAGGATTCATGGAATTAAATGTATTGCTTTAAGGGTTAACATAAAGAAAAAGTCAAAACAATGACCTCTGTCTAGGTTGTTGGTCAGAGTGAGATCATTGAGTGTGTATTTACCTGCTTTAATTAGAGCTTCTGTGTACATTTCTTCTCTGTAGAGTACTGTCCACATTGCCTGTACCCACACACTGACAAGACATGCACAGTCTGCAAGCTGTACAAACAGTACACAGGGAAGGGGTACTGGGGCCACTCACTTCACTATCATCCAGAGCCACACAGACATAAATCCGTCAAGGTAATCCTTACTAATAGAAAAATCTGATGTGTTT